TATTTTTATTTTATTTTATTTTTTTCGAAAACAGTTTATACTCTTGTCAAGGAGTTTTTTTATTTTTTATTTATTTTTAGATAGTTTATACTCATATCAAGGATTTCTTGATTTTTTTTCTTTTATTTTCAGGTAGATAGTTTAAACTCGTGTTAAGGAGTGTCATCGACAGTTTAGGCTCGTATCAGGGAATTATACTTTTATTATTCTTCAAGTTTGTAAGAATCTTTTTGTTCTTGAAAGCAAATTTTCTTAACAAGTTTGGTCTTTTACTATGGTTTCCTTGACTTAATGCCCCCTTACACTTCACACTTTTGTTTGAAGTTATTGGTATAGCATGGTGCGTTTCTTAATGCAAGTTTTTGGAGATGATGCTTGTAATGAAAGATGTAGCTATTTCATCATCTGAGTTAAGTACGATTTTGTCTTTCTCTTTAGACACACTTCCTTCATCTTCAAAAAGGCTGTTGGTTCCCTAGCACCATGATTTTTCATGCTAAGTTCCATGTTGTGGTCTCAAGTAACAAGCTCTTCAAATATACGAGGTTTAATCCCTTGTAGGATGTAAAAAAGCTTTCAGCGCATGCCTTGCATACATGCTTCAACTACAGAAATTTCAAACAAATGATCTTTGCAGTCAAGACTTAGAGTTCGCCAACGGTTTATGTAGTCAACCACAAGTTCGTTCTTCATTTGTTTGGTGTTAGTAAGCTCTAACATGCTCACTATTTTGCGAGTACTGCAAAAACGGTTGAGAAATTCTCGTTCCATTTGCTCCCAACTATCAATACTCCCAGCTTTGAGGTCTGTGTACCAATCAAATGCATTCCCTTTGAGGGAATGAACAAATTGCTTGACAAGTAAATCTCCGTCTATACCAGCATTGCCACAAGTTTGCACGAAGTGTAAGATATGTTGCTTGGGATTGCCTTTTTTCGTCAAACTGTTGAAGTTTTGGAGGTTGATACCCAACTGACATTTTTGAGCTGTCAATTCTTTTGGTGTAAGACTTTAAGTACATATGAGCACTTTGAAAGATGCCACTGTATTGTTCTCTTATACAATCCATTATCATGTCTTGAAGTTGTTGGACAGAAAGTGTGGCGACAGAGGCAGCTTCAATTTCTTGGTTGGAGGATATGACATTTTGATCGTCAATTAGAGTGAAATCTGGAAAAGGAATCCGGCCTTTGCTTGACTCAGCAATGTCGTCACATAATTTTAACTTTTCTGTCAATGAGGCAATTTTTAGATCTTGCTCATTGAGAGTCTGTTGTAGTTTTTCAATTGCATGAGCCATACTCGTCAATTGTTCTTCGTACGTGGTAATACTCGTCATCATGGCTGGCATAATGACGGAGTCAGAAAAAATATTTGGCCTTGGGTGAACCAGGTGAACTTGGATTTGACAACAATTTCTTTGAGATAAGTTGAACCTCTGAGTTTGCATAAACCTTTTCTCTTGCCCCTAGAGAGTCAAAAGTGTGATGAATTTGATTTGTTGCTTTGATGGATTTGACAGAGTTGACTCTCACCGCATCGGGTTGCCTTTTGACGGGAACAGATGTTTTGGCTATGCTTTGCATCATTGGACTTGCAGAGAAGTTAATACCACTTGATGGAGTTGCAACCTTCTTACCACTTTTTGTGGTGGTATTGATGTTGTTCGCCATGACTGTGGTGTCATTGGGTTTTTTTTTTTTTCTTTTCATCTACAACTTGTCGAAAACCATAAATTCAGACGTTGAGAATTTAATGTAGGAGAAAGAGATGAGAGGCAGGGGATGTCCCACCGGGGTGCCAAAAATTTGTACACATAAATTTCGTATCTACAAATTAAATAACGAAATAGGGAGCAAATAATAGTTTATTGATTTATGAAAATTCGAGTACAATCCTTTGATGTATTTTTTTCAAAAGAAAGAAAATATCATCTGATTCGATCTTCTTTGTTGGTTGGATCCAAGGACTGTTGGAGCTTGATCTTGAATCGGGCTGTTGACAATCTTCTTATTTATAGTTGAGGAAGATTACCGATGATTTGTAATCGAGGGCTGATGAAACTTGATCTTGAACAATGTTGTTTGGTGATTATTCAAACTTGTTGAATCCGGAGAAAGAATGACACGATTTTGATGTGCTTGTTGTTCTTTATTGAATTTGAAGTTGTTGAATTTAAGGAAGAATGACATGACTTTGGATTAGATGTGCTTATTGTTTTTCGTCATCAGAGAATTTGTGGAAGAACGACACGGCTTTCGTTGTGCTTATTGCACTTCTTCTTCAAGAATTGGGTGTTGGGGATGAATGTCGCTAGAACTTCTATATTTTACTCTAGAATTCTGGAATTCTAGAATTCTCTGGCCCATTTGGATTTTTGAGTCTCTGAATTTCTGGACCCCTTTCTCCTTCCTCTATGTCTCTATTTATAGGTTTCTTGGATTAATATGATGATGATAAAGACATAATTACAACTCGGTCGGGCCGGTTATATTGTGATAATTATTCATAAAAAATAATTATTCCAAATATATTTTATTAAGAATAATTATCTTTTAATTTAATCATCAGGGTTGGGCTAATTAAATAATTTAAATTGACCAAGGTTGAGCCAATTAAATAATTTAATTAAACATCAGACCCATATTTGATGGATCAATTTGTCAAAATAAAAGTGCATAAAATTCTAGTGCATACAATAACAATATATTCTATAATATATTAAAACAGCTTCACTCAAAGTCAAGGTGGATTATATGATGCCATCTTTTGAGTTTGAAGACAATTCTTTTACTTTGATGTAGCTGACGTGGCACCGATGCTAATGTGGTTGATGACATGGCAATTGAAGTGGCAAGTGACTTGATGCTATTGCTGGCACCTCTGTTGCGTGGCAATTAACATGGTAGGTAACGTGACACAACTACTAACACTGTTACAGAATGTGTCTGACGTTGCACTAATGTTGACATGTCAGGTGACGTAGGATGGATCTGTGAAGATCTTGGAAGTAGGTGCGGAGCATGAATAGGTTGACATTGCTATTCCGGTGGTAACTACTATAAACTGATGGGTGATGAATTTGTGAAGATTCACCATGTTGAAGGCGCGTGTGAGTGCATGATGACCACTGATGGCACGTGGTGGCGCGGTAACGGAGTTGATCCGACACGTTGAGGTGCGGGATTACCGCTGGTGCGTGTGAAAGCGTATGGAAGAGTGTGATTACCACTTGAGGCGCATGGTTGCTGGTGACCGAACTGATCCGACACGTTGAACATTTCTGAACGAGATATTCCGTTAAGTAATGAGGCTTCCTTAGGTGAGGCTTCTCTAAATGAGGCATCTCGTTGAGTTTCTTGAAGGAAAACTTAAACAACGAGGCTTCCCTAAATGGGGCATATAAAGATCTTGGAGTGCGTGCTGTCGGGGATGGGGCTGATGGTGCCATCCCCGGCGGTGATTACGATAAAATGTTTACCAATGAAAGTTCTGATACCATGTTAGAAAATAAGAGAGAATGAAGAAATATGATATTGTATTGATGTATATGTGGTAAAGTTGAGAGAAATCTACGAATGATTTAAATTACAATTTCATGCTCCAAAATCCTCAAGTCTCGTGAGTTAAAAGACTTGAAATTTGGCCTGGAATGTTTGTCTGATTTCTTGGATTGCCTCTCGCCTAAAATGTTTTCAAAAGTTTTTATTTTTTTTTTTGTTTTTTTCCTTTTTGGAAAAAAAAAAAACAAGTATTAGAACAACAATCAAGAATTTATCATCATTTTTCTAACTATTTCAAATCAACTACATAAATGTTAGCTTCTACAAGCTAAATGTGTCAAACTATTTGATACAGTTGACATCTTAAAGTTCGAGGACATTGCGAGTGGCTTAAAGTTTGAGAATATTACTAGCCAGTTGGGTTTTAACCTCTTAACTCCCCCAAACTGACATAGGTTTTGTTGGTAGAACGACTAGCTCTCCCAAAGGGGATGGTGTATTAAATGGATAGCTAATAGGACTGCAAATGAATCGAGTCGAGCTGAGCTTGGGGTTGTTCGGGCTCGGCTCGCCAAAATCAAAGGCTTGCTCGGACTCGGCTCGCTCAAGCTCGTTTATATATATATATATATATATATATATATATATATATATAACCATATGCATATACATAAAAAATCTCAAGATCTGTTTGTATATGTACACATACTCAGAAGATGAAAATCCCATGGGCCATGGCCGTTGATCTCCGTCAGCACCTGATTCTTAACCATCGTCTGTGTTTTGGGCTGGTAATGTTGTATGGCACTTGTTGGTCTTCTTCAAAGTTGAGACTAGGATGAAAGAGAAATAGTGGGAAGAGAGAGAGAGATGTTTGAGAGAAAGATGAAAGAGAGAGACTGAGAAGATGGAAAGATATTTGAGAGAAAGATGAAAGACAACAGAGACTGAAAAGAAGCGTAAGAGGAGGCAAAGTGTGGATGCGGCAATTAGGGTTCAAGTGAAAGTGAAATGAGTTTGGGCATATGTTGTCCTAAAGTTTGTTTAGGGCCGTTGGATTTTAATGTAATCTAATGGCTCATATGATATTAGTTTTATGGGCCTTAAGAAGTAGGCATAAAACATAAAGAACTTTGGGCACACTTTTAATATATGTGGGCTAACACCTTTAATATAAAAATAAGAATATAATGGGCTTCTTAAATGATCCTGTTCACAAGCCTAACAAGCCGAGTTCAGCATTACTCAAGCTCAGCTTGTTTATTAAATGAGTTTAAAAAAATGTGTTCAAACTCGGCTCGCTTACTTTACGAACGAGTCCGAACCAAACTTTTAACGAACCAAGTTTGAACTATTCATGAACGGCTCGGTTCATTTGCAACCCTAATAGCTAACACAGCTAGCTCCCCCAACGGTATGATGTATCAAATGGTGTATCTATATTCGACTTCACACGCCCAGAGAAGAAAAAATAAAAAAGATTAGAGTCGAACCCTGTAAATCAAACACTAGTTGTTTTGATTATAATTGATCTTAATAATGCAACGTAGACATTACTCAAAATAAATCATAAAAAATACAAAGTAATACACAAATTTTGTTTTTATTAAAGAAAAAAAGAAAAACATTGATGGTTAAGCCTTGGCTGCAAATATCTCCAGTAAGGAAGACCAAGTTCCAGTGATTGCAAAAACCAACCCTACCACCACAATTCCCCCATCCAACGCCATCCCTTTCCAACCCAACTCTTCCTTGTGCACCATCAAGTGAAACAAAGAAGGCAATACAAACCCTAAAACAATGCAGACACTACTCCCCACCAATGACAAGAAATCTGCAAAATTAGGCACCAAAAGCGCCACCAAAGTCACCCCCAAAACCACCGCCCATCTCAGCCACACGCAATACCTAGCTTCACAGAACCGCCTCTCCACCACCTCATAGACCGGGTTCATCATCAGAGGGAAAGTGAAGAACAGGTTCACACAGAGACCCATCTGGACCAGACCACTCACCAAACCCTTCCCAAAATTGGTAGTGATTATGTCTTTGGTCTCTTCACCAAATGCAAAGTAACCCAGAGCTCCAAAACTTCCATACATCAAAGAAATGAAAGCCATTGACAACCCCAAGATTTTGCCATACTTGCTTCTGTCTTTCATTTCTGCTTCTAGTGGCAAAGCCATTCCAACCCCTTCGAATGCGTAAACCGCCACACCCAAACCATAGAAGAACACAGAAAACCCCCCAAATGCTTCCAAAACAGGACTCTGCTTCAGAAAGATCATGATGTCTTCAACAATCACCACACCCATCGCTCCAATATCAACTACATCGGCGAAAATGCTCAGAGGAGCCAAATGGGTCAGTGACGGAATCGAATTTAATCCCAATTGGAAAGGAAAACAACCCCAGATGTAAAACGATTTGGGCGAGACCCCCAAAATTCTGGGACTGAGATTTGGTGAAGTTTCATTGAAAACGTAGGCTAAGGTGTTGGCAATGAAGATGAGGTAGCTGACGCAGAAACCGGCCTGAGAGAGGACGATCATGATGTCGACGGAGACCCGGCCGATGGGTCCGCAGACGGCGAAGCCCAGGTCGCCGAAGGAGTTGATCTTGGTGAATCCGTGGTGGGATTCGAGTCTCCGGCGAGTGTGGACCAGTAGCATCATGCAGTGGTAGGTGAGGTAGGCGACGGAGAAGAGCATGAGAAGACCCATGACCCAACCGGTCTTCTTGAAGGTGTAGGGAAGGCCGAGCACACCTGCGCCGACTATGGCGATGAAGACGTTTGCGAAGGTCTTGGATTGGGACGAGAGGTGTCTGGATTTGGAGACGAGTGGAGTGTCCTCTCTGGGTAGAGAAGGGACTTGGAGGACATGGGAGGATGAGCTCGCTTCTTTATCAAATCCCATGGTCGGCCTCCTCCTCTGATATGCGTGTGTGTGTAAATATGTGCGTGCGACTGTGTGAGAAAGGAGAATTGAGGCGTTTATTTTTTTTTGAATCTTTTGATTTCCGATCAAATTTGGTAATATTCTAAATACAGTTGGAGAGGGTTTTGATCTAATTTATTGTGCGTGTGGAAGAAGTAGCATTGATGGGGGATTTTGATTGAGGGATGTAGAGGCTGCTGATTTTCGATCAAATTTGGTTGAGCTCTTCTATATTCTAGAGAGAGAGAGAGGGGCACGGCACAGGTGTTGATGAGATAAAGGGAATGACCACCCCCGCTGTTTCTCTCTCTAAAGTTCTAGAGAGAGAATAGGTGGTCACTGTTACTTTGCTGGGGGTGGTGGACCTGTTGGTGGTTTATTATTTTTATATTTTCACGGATTATGATATTTAGGAATTGGTCCTATTCGAGCCAAGTTGTTAGAAAAAGAAAGAAGTTGAAGGGAAAATGACTCCGTTACATAATAACGTGTAGGTGTAGTTTTTGGACTACATACCACTAGAACAAATATTTAGCCACCACAAAAGAAAAGATGGAATCTTATAAAAAAAAAACACTAGTATATAACAAAGATGGAGATAAGAAATTTAACACGTTTGCAAAAGAAATTGAAATACGGGTCTTTTGTGATTATTCTTGTATTTGAACTCACATCTGCATTAATTAATTAATTTATTTTTTTAAGCCAATCATAAGAAATTGAATTCAGAAATGACGGTGTCTCTCGACCTTTTATTCATAAAGAGTATTTGTCCTGCTGCACATCACAGTTTGACACGGACCACTAGTTTTGGTCGGCACTCATTTTTTAATTAGTGTTTCTATTTTCTTACCAAATAACTCAGTGTCATTTGCTATAGTGAGATCTTAACTCACAATTTTATTTTGAAAAGTAAAAACTTCTAATATATATAGTTTTTAAATTTAAAGGAGATGCGGAATATTTATTGCATATTTATACAGAATATTTAAACAGTTAGGAAACTCTTTTAATTCTCGGACAAGAAAAGGAATCAGATTTAAATACAAATTCTACCACTGGTAATGCTTTTATAAAAAGAGTCGTTAGTGAAACCTAAAAAAAAGGTTAAAAAAATAAATACAAAATATTTCTTTTACTTATTATGAAAGTTGGGTGACAAACTTCTCTTGTCTTATAGGAACCATCCCCGGCCGTTCGAATTGACACTAAAATCATTGAGAAAAAATTTCACAAACTCTACTAGTAGATGAAATCTAATTATTTGACAATAAAAAAACCCACAAATTAGTTGATAGAAATATAATTATTTGGTAAAAAAAATATATATTATTTGACAATAAAATTGTTTACATTTACGGTAAAAGTTCAGTCCACTTAAGATTACACAAGTAATCAATTTCAATTTCTCATAATTTGATGTACCGGAGGAGCTTGCCAAACCATGCTAATGATAGCCACTACCTCTTTATCAAAAACACCAAATCTTCACAAATCTAAATAGCTTAGGCCGCCAACCTAACCCTTAGGCCAGTAACATATGTACCACATGCGCCTTTCTATTTTTAGTGTTAAATCCGTGCCCATATGTTATTTCTCCAATAATAAGGATATCTCCTGCTATAGTGTGTGCGTGTTTTTTATTATTATTATTATTATTATTATTTCATATAATGATGTAAGAGAAACAACTCCACTAAAAAGGAAAGTGCATTACATCTTCAACCCAGCTTCATCAATGTTCTTCTAGCAGCCGTCTCCTTCAAAATATGACCTTGGGACAGCAACCATTTTAGTTTCAATAAAAGCAGTGTTATCCAAATGGATCTCTCCCACCACCTAGCTTGTGTCATCATTTCTAAAAATGAACATCTTGAAGATCACAAGAAGCTTCTTCGCCGTCCCTTTTGACCTCAGAAATCAGAAACCAAACACTCGTTTGCAATACAAACAAAGAATGATCATTTGTTGTTATTGAATCTTGTACTGCTTCCCTCTCTGTCACAGCACATCGTTTTGCCGTTTAAAAACAAAAAATCAAGAACAATTTTTGGATAAGGCAATTCCCCCCAAACAAAAACCAAATGTATTCCCATGTCGCAAACCAGATAACCCATAAAGCATTAATATTCTGGCTCCTTGATTTCAAGAATTTCAGCAATTTGTCAACAAACTGCAACCATTCTTAGCCAACAATTCAGGTCTCAAGAATTGACTGTAATAGGTTATTTACGTGAAACATGTTCTTTCCTTCTAACCATATTGATTCTTGACTAAGACGCAGAACTAATGAGTTCCAAGTAAAAAAATCGGGAAGAATTCCCTTCTCCACCATTTGTAGAAAGAGTATCCAAGCCTTTTGGAAATTCCCTTCCCTACAGAAGGCATCAATTAAAGGACTATAAGTACCAATATTAGGCAAGCAACCTCTTCCAACCATGTCTTCCATGAATTTTGATGCACTCCCAACTTTGCCCTTCCTGCAAAGCCCAATTATTAGTGCATTAAACGTTGATGCAACAGGAAAATAGCCATGGCTAACCATCTCATTCATCAGCTCAAATGCTTCCCGTACACACCCTTCTCGGGAAAATCCATGGATCAAGCTGACATAAACAAGAGCACTTGGAATACCTCCTTCCCCAGTCATCTGATCATAAACTCTTTTTGCATCCCTGATATTACCCTCCTCACAGAAACCTACTATCCTCAAGCTCCTATCGACAGCTCTGGGAAACAATTTACCCATCTTACTTAGATATTCAAGGGCTTTGATCAAATGGCCTTCCTTATACATACCATATATGGCACTATTATAAGGACTAATATGACCACCAGAACCCCCTTTACTCTCCTCCATTAATTCCAAGACCCTAAACCCATCGTCCACCCTTCCTCCTGAACACAAAGCACTGATTAACATATCATAAGTGACAAAATTCCAGTTTATTCCAACCACTTTCATTTCATTAAACATATCAAGAGCAGAATCTAACATTTGAGACTCACAGAAACCAGAGATCAATGTATTGTATGTGTCTACATTTGGAAGGCATCCCTTTTTCTCCATCTCCTTCAAAAAGCGATGCCCAACTTTCACTTTCCCTAATCTGCAAAACCCTTTGATCATGGTGTTATAAGCCACAACATCGACCTTTCCTCCCTTGCTCTCCACTCTTTCTAAAACCTCAACAGCCTCCGTAACACGGCCTTCATTGCAGAGAATTTCAACAACCTTAGTCACTGTAACAACATCAGGGACAAACCCGAGGTTGAAGCACTTCTCTAACAGCACAAGAGCTTGAATTAAATTTTCCTCTCGACAATATGCGGATATCAAAACATTAAAAGTCACTTCATTTGGTTCAACCATCTCATTCATCAAGCTCCTGGCCCTCCCAACCTTCCCATTCTTGCAAAGAGCATGAAGTAATGTGTTGTAAATAACAGTATTTGGCCTTAAGCCCCGAGTCTTCATCACTTGCAAAAGCTTAAAACAGTCACCTATTCTATTGGTCAAGCAAAGTCCCTTCATTAAGATACCAAATGTGAACTCATCACCTTGAACTCCACATTCCATCATCTTCTTCCTATAAAACTTCCTAGCTAAATCAATGTCTTCCTTAACAAGAACGTCAAGTATCGAATTAAAGAGTTTCAAAGATGGGTTGTTCTCAAATTTAGAAACCAAATCAAGCACCTTAATGACTTGTCGAATCATTCGTGCCCTTCCAAAACCCCTCACAATTGCGATGAAGATGTCCTCATTTGGGGGCGAACCAATTGAGCTAGGCATTTCGTCGAGCAGTTCCTCGACAGTGTCAAATCGACGAAAAACGCAGAGCTTGTGGATCAAAGCTCTGTATGTGGATTGAGTGTGGGTGAAATTGGGGAACTTGGAAGCCCATCTGAATGTTTCGAGTGCTTGGGTTGCTGATTTTTGATCTAAAATGAGATGGGCAATGTGTTCATGCGTTGGAACAGGTGTGGTTGAGATGGGTTTTGATTGGAAGCTGCAAAGTAGTCTGTGACATATTGTTGTGTTGAAGACGACAGGATGTTTTGAAAGGTTTGAAATGTGAATCATGGGGTTTAAGGACTCACTGAATGTAGAGATGGGTTTAATGAAATTCGTGTCCATATGAGATATGGCACGCATTCAATGAAATGCAAATCTTGCAGACGAGGCCAACCGAGGGCTTCTAAAATCATACAATGAGTTATGCTATGAAGATTGCTGCTGGATTTTTACGGATTGGTGGCAGCCCAGCAAATGCAAAATGAAATTGCCGCAAATTTTAGTACATTATAAAAGGTTGGCAAGCGAAAAATATAAGGTGTATAATCCCATATGTTTTGAAAAAAATTTAATATTTAATTTTTGAACAAATAAAGAATCTGAATATTGGAAAGATTAAAGTGACCATATGTATCGGGATAAAAAAATACAAAAGTAATTAAAGAGTTTTTTTTTTTTTTTACCCTTGTCGTACTTGTGTCAAACACTTGACACTCTTTGGACACTCCTCGAATATGTATTCAAAACTTCATATACATGTCCATAAATAAAAATTAATTTTATTATTTTAGATACTTTCCCGACACTTTGTCTACACTTCCTACACATTTCTAACCCAAGTCTACCCAGTAGTCATGAAAATATTATGAATACTATCATGACAGATATATCTAACGCAAGTCTACCCAGTAATCTTGAAAATATTATGAATATTGAATACTATCACGACATAGTGAAATAATGATATATATATATATATATATATATATATATATATATATATATATATATATATAAATTATTACAATAATAACATAATTTCATTTTATAATTCATTTCATAGCAACTATTAGTATAGAAATTATAAATGAATTAAAGTTTTATAATATTATTGCTGAATAAATGTATAAAAATAAAAAATTATATTTATATGTAGCCATATCCACGCTGTACTCGTGTCCTACTTTTTTAAAATTTGACATGTCGTATTCGTATCGTATGATGGGCTGCAAACGAGCCGAGCTGTTCGCGAACGGCTCGGGCTCGACTCGTTAATTACTCAGCTCGAGCTCATTTATTAAATAAGTGAACCGAGCTCGAGCTGAATTATGAGGCTCGATTTATAAACGAGTCGAGTCTGAAAATCAGTATATTCGACTCGTCTGTTCATGAACTAGGTTCGATAATGCATTCACAAACATACTCGATTATAATACACACACACTTAATTATAATATATACAAAAGTTGGGGTCAAATTGTAATTATATGTAGCACATTTATATATAAATATAAATTTATGTTGGGGTTATATTGTAATTGTATATAGAGTTTGTGGTAATTATGCAAATAGGCCTTTCTTGTCTTTCTATATAAACCCTTTTATGTTTAGGGTTGATAGAATTTGCGCCTCTATCTCAATCTGTTCTCTTTCTCCATCATTGACCACCAACGATCCCCAGCCACCAACGATCCCCAACCATCAACGAAGAACGATTGCTAAGATCTCACTCGCTTATCTACCCTTTCTTCTACCGTCAACATCCCTTCCATCTACCACCGGTGGCTTCATCGCCTTCGTCCATCACCACTCAACCCTCATTTCTCCTCTTCTCTCTCTCCTTATATATATACACACACACCAACCTCCACCGGTGCCACCATCGGCCCTCTCTTTTCCCGCTGCTCTATCTCCCGCCGTCTCTATCTTTTTCGGTGACCAAGGCGATTCCTTGCCAGTCATCATCGTTGTGCCGATTTCTGGCACTGAGAGTTGCGTTATGGGTCTTGTGGGCTGTTGGGATTTTCTCCTGGCATGTGTATAGGTCCGATTACAGTTGGGGTCACTGTGTATCGTCGCCCACGAGTCGTTAAACATAGCCCAAGTCGAGCTCGAACTAAATTTTCTAGGCTCGACTCGAGCTCGAGCAGAGCTTGAGTAGCCTATTATCTGACCGAGCCAAGCTCGAGCACACCATTACTCGGCTCAACCCACAAGCTTGAGCAGCCTTAATCGTATCGTGTCCTCCATATCATGTGTCCGTATCCTTGTTACATAATTTACTATTATAAACATAAATTCAACTATTGTGGATATAATTTTCTATAAGGAAAGGGAGAGGAACGAGGAAATCAAGGAAGAAGCGATAATACTTCAATTATATTGTTCTGTAAAAAAAAATAATAATAAAAATAAAAAAATAGTCTAATAAAACATGAAGGAAGCTGTATTCTAATGATAAAAGATAAAGGGTTTTTTTTAGTTTAATCTCATAATTTTGTATGGGTTTTGATGTTAGTCCCCTTTTAAAAAAATATTAGAGATCGTTCCTTTTTTTCTTCTTCTTTTTTATTTTTATTTTTATTTTTATTTTTATTTTTTTGTACATTTTAGTTAGCTAACTAGACAAAGTTAACTTTAAAAGGGCATTTTTTTTTAAATTCCAAAATTGCCCTTAGTTTAATTTTTACCAAACTATTAGAACCCTAAATTCCAAAATTAGCTTCCCTAGATACCATCAAAACCCTACTTCCCCTTTTCTCCCTATTTTGTTTCTATGCTTTATCATGGTTACAAACAATTGTTATTTTTTTACTTCATATATTCATTATTTTTATTTATTTATTTATTTATTTATTTTTTTTTTTTCACATAACCATAATTCATAATCTATGAAAAATTAAAATGATTGTCAAGAAATTGGCTGCAACTCTTTCTCATTTAGGGGACTTTCACAACTTCAAAGTGCAATCTTCAATAAAGTTTTGACTTATGCAATCTTGAAATTTTCCAGATTGTGAAATCCTTAGTCTTAGTTCTCCAAATTGATCCTTTTTCTTTTTTTTTTTTTTTTTTTTTTTTTTTTTGCGTTATAGTTTTCCAAATTGATTCTTGATTTTATTTTTTATTTTTATTTTTTATTTTCCGTTAAGTTGTTTCTTGTTTCAGGAGCCTCCTTAGATCCTTGGTGTTAGTTCTCCAAATTGATCCTAGATTTTTTTTTTTTTTTTTTTTTTTAAATTTTATTTTCCCTAAAGTTGTTTCTTGTTTCAGGGGCCTCGTTTACCCTTCTTTTGCTTGATCAATGCCTTGTACTTTAATGGCATAAATGAAAACAAAATAATTTAATTAATTAATTATTTATTTATTTATTTTTGACTTTCATTGAAATAGTAGATGGATTACATATGGGAAACACTGATGCCCATTTTTTTTTTGTTGAGGAAAGTTATTCCATTGAAGTTTGACAACAATTTTTCTAAAATGAACTTTATATTTGGAATGACAAGAGTTTCCGTATTTTATCACAATCCAACCAAATTTTTATTTATATTGCTTGGAAAAGAATTTTTATATATATTGCTGGAAAAATTCCTATATGAAGAAAGAGGTGACAACTAAAATCATAGTTTAATGGGATAATTTTGGAATTTTATAAAAAAGGCACTCTTAATTGTAACGTCGTTTGATGGACAGTGTCTTGACTAATCGTATCAGAATTTTTAATAAAAAGACCAATATCAAAACTGATGCAAAATTATGGGATTTAACTAAAAAAAACCAAAGATAAAAGATAAATTAATTTCTCACTCAATAATAATAATGATAGTGTCTTTTAAAGGGAATATTGGAGTAGGAGAACTATGTGAACAAATGGATTAGTAAAATTGATACTATATACAAACATGTAATGAGACAATTATAGTAATGAGATAGTAACAACATATACAATATTAGGTCACAACTCTCTCCTTTAAATTGTGTAATAAGCCCTAATTATCTTATTTAATAGATTATAATTTATAGTAAATAAATAGTAATTTTATTTATTTATTATTATTTTTTTTTTGCATCCAAACACCATCGAAAAAAAAATAGGGATGACAATGGGGCAGATATCCCATTCCCTATCTCCATTCCTGTTTAATATTTTCACTCCATAATTGTTCCAAAACTAGTTAGATTTTTCAAAGCAGCCTCCATTCTTAACCCCATTTACATAATAAATGCGCTAACCCACAAGCAAGTTCCGTGCTAGTCCCACGCTCCCCTAAACACAAAGCCACACTCAGATTTCGTTTGGAAACATAGGAGAGCATTAAAAAAAAAAAAAAAAAATTTAATATCAATAATCTCTATTCATGTTTAGGTAGGATAATAATATTATTTGCATAAGATGGAGGAGACTAGGAGAGAGAGAAAAAAAAATAAAAAAAATGATAACAAATAAATTACTATTTTAATTAGATAATTTCTTTCTTCAAATTATTAAAGACAATTTCAAAATTATAAAAATACTACTTAATCTACTATCCTTTCCTTCTTTATCTTTTTACTTTTGAAAGAAAGTTTTAAAGGAATAAGGATCCAAATCACTTGTAAATGGTGTGTGTGAGTTTATTACAAAAATAAAAATAATAATTAAAAAAAAAAATTCCAATAACGCTAAACCCATTCAAACTTCTCCTTGTGCTTTCTTTCTTTTATTTCCTGTACCTCCAAATCATCCCATCCAAACGAAGCCTAAAGAACAGTGATACTCTCAATTGGGTTCGCCGCCTTTGTTCTCCCCTGGCTGTGGCCTTCACTGCCGGCGCGTCGCTTATGTTCTCCGTAGCCTCAACTCAGATCAAGGCCAGTCTCTCTCTCATTCTCTCCTCAAGTTTTGTCGTTACCTCTCATTGTCGACCTTGTCGGAAAGGGCCTGTGTTTCAACGGAGCAGTGCTGTAAAACGATTGCAACAACAGCCCATCTCTAGGTACTCTCTCTGTGCTGTAATATGCATTATTTCCATTATTGATTTTAATTTTAATTAAGTTTCAGTTTAGGATCTTATTTTTATTTATTTATTTTTTGAATTAATCTGGTTGGTACCAAACATCTGAAATCACGGCTTGCCATTCTGCTTGTATTTTTACCCAAAAAAAAAAAAAAATTTGTATCTTTTTGGTTTACTCTGCTTATTATGTCCTGCATTAAGAACTTAGGGCCAGTTTGGTTGGAGAAAAATTAATGTAGGATCATTATAGGTCTTTTTCAAACCTCACCATCACACAAATAATTAAAATTAAAACAGATGTTAGGATTAGTCCAACAAGGCCACTCTCTCTATAAGAGATGTTAGGATTTACTATGATCTCAAATGATGACAGAAAACAAGGATTTATACCGTTAAATGAGACTATATGGACTGGAAAGCCCATTTTGCCAAAGCATGGGCTACCTTGTTACAGATTTTAGGTACCCATGATTAGGATTTTCCTCTATTATCTTCGAGCATTTTGTTAATGTCATCTATCACAATGGCTGAGAATTAATTTGTGGGACTCTGGTATAGAATCGGTTTGCAGTCTCCCTCTACAACCACATCCTTGTGCCCCCACTCTGAAAGCCACTTCGGACCTTTTCTAAGAATTAGAGCCTTAGTGTAACGGGTGGGCGCTTGCCCATTTACCCAAAAGCTCGAATTGTTGGGTAGTGCTGCATACCCACCCATTTATACCCATGTCACTTCCCATCCGGATCCGATGTGGGACAAGTCTCCTCCCCTTGTAACATTCTCTCCCACCCGAACTCGCAACGCCCTCGTTGCGGTCGGACGACCCTGCCTACCCGGGATGGCTTATCCGGACGCCTTCCGGGCCGGGCGCTTGGCGTGACACCGGATCAAAGATTGGGTCTAGCTCTGATACTAACTGTAACGGGTGGGCGCTTGCCCATTTACCCAAAAGCTCAAACTGTTGGGTAGTGCTGCATACCCACTCATTTATACCCATGTCACTTCCCATCCGGATCCGATGTGGGACAAGTCTCCCCTAGTAACACTTAGCCACTTCGGACCTTTTCTAAGAATTAGAGCCGTTGACCGTTGGGAGAATAAAGAAACTACTTTGATGGGTCTGCCTCCAATCTCCATCATCCCTGTTCTTCCCCCCAAGCTTCCAAAGAGGTAGGTCAAAGAAGCGTCAACGTTAAGTTTTAGCTTGCCAACCATGACCATTCAGGAGGAGGAGGAGATGGGATAACCTTATCACCAACCAAAAGATAAGCATCCATGGTTGTCACTGTTTTGAACTCATTCAGGTTTACCATAGCTATGTCAACAATGGCAAGAGGATCCCAGCGATTTCCTTGAAAATGGCAATCGTTCCTAACTTTCCAGAGTTACCAAACAATGATGAACCTAGACTATGCAGATATGTAACATGATCGGATTTGTTTACATAATCCATGAGTCCAAATCAAAAAATGTTTACAAGAAGGCATATGGTTAGAACTCAAATCGATCCTCAACGGACTTAATTTCCACACCGTTTGAGCAATCTGGCAATGACATAGCATGTGAATAGCTGATTATTATGCTTGACCACAAACCGGACATGTCACATCATTCAAAATTTCTCTCTGCTCCAAGCTTAAGAGAACAGGGATTCTTTCGTGACAAACTTGCCATATAAAAACATTATTTTTCTTTTTGATTTAATTTTCCAAATGTTCTTCCATTTTGATTGGAACTCTTGGACTCTCCAAATTGACCTCTACTTATATATTATTGTAAGGTTGACTTATAAATATTGAGGTTTTGTAATTTTATACCTTTATTATAAAAAGTTTTTAGGCATATCCTTATTTCTGAGATCATCGAGTATTTTTATTGAGCCCACATGCATCTAACCTATATCTCATTCCGCTTCTTACAGTTTTAAGTTTTCTGACTACCTTGGGAAAAGTAGTACTTACTGCTTTGCCATTGGATTTGTTAACCAATAGAGTTAAATATGGCTGAGCGGCTGCCGCTTGATCAACAAAATCCACTTGATCCACAGCTGCAATCTCCACTTCCACCAAAAGAGGACATGATTGCCTGTGTAATGGCACTGGAGGCTGCTTTGCTTCCATGCTTGCCCGCAAGAGAGCTCCAAGCAATAGATCGATCTCCTCACCCTTCTCATCAGAGTGAGTACTTATTTATTGATTTTATTATGTAAGTTACTTATACAAGCCCGCAAAGTCTCACTGCTCATAACTAGTTGCCGACTTTCATGTCTTCTTGTCACTGTTGAACAATTTTTCTGTGTTGCTTCGGATAAGATACCATTTTGCCATTCATATAAGCATAGCATCAATCGTACATTTATTAAATAGTCTGGTAATGACACCATTAGTTTTTTCCCCCATGTAAATTGCTACTTCAATGTGGACAAGATTTGAGAACATTTTCATTCGTAAATTAGACTTTAAAGAGAACCAAAAATAAAAAAATAAATTCTAGCATGTATATTGAGAAGTAAAACAGGAGAATAGATTATTTCTAATGATAACATTTCAGAATGGGTAATGGAATATCAGGAGTTATGGTAAGTAATTGGAAAGTTTAACCTGCTGGGATTTGTAATGGTGACCAATGAAATTCCTGGTGGAGAACACCCAAAGATTTGGATTAACTGAGAGAGGTTGATGTTTCATCATTTCTATGAATTCATAAAAAAACAGGCTTTTTAGCAACATGTATACACATTTGAGTGATAATTGCTGTCTAAATTTGTCTGTTTTCTATGTTGTTTTGTATCTATGGTTGTGAACTGGATGAATATTTTATTATTTAATCCAAGCATCCGTTTTGAGATGTGTTTTTTTTTTTTTTGGTTTCCCATGATTGCCAGAAGAGATAATTCTTCTTCATTGCTGCAGTCGATGTCGAAAGGCATGCAAGAGATTTTATGGAGGCTGCTAAAAAGCTTCAACTCTATTTTGTTGGCCTTAAACGTGAGGATCAACCAACCAAGGCAGAAACTCTTCAAAAGGCAATTTTCAGCCCACATTTCTGTATTTATTCTTCCATCACATAGATTTTGGAGACCTTGGTGAAGTTATTTATGTTGTTCCTGTGTCGTATTCTTTATAGGAGATTGCTGTGATGGAAGAAGAGTTGAAGATCAAGACTGAGCTTATCAAGAAGCAAGAAAGATTGATTCAAGGGTGGAGAAAGGAGTTGAAGGACCAATTGGACAAGCACAATACTGAATTAGAGAGGGTGTAGTAATGGTTGAGATTCATTTTGTACTAATTAGTTTAACACATCATTTTAGGGTTGATGAGTTGATGGACCAATGGCTAATGCGTTGCATTGATGATCGTATCTTTGTGTGCGCGCCTTTCCTCTAGAGCTTGTAGAAGTGCCTATGACTAAACATGGCTTGAACCACCGGGTCAAGGGTTCGAGACTGGAATAGAATAAAACCCAATGCATCACCGGTCTAGCTCTACCTTGGCGGCTTTGGGCCTTAACTGCTCCCAAGCTATAGGTCAAGGTTTCGAGATCAATAGAATACCAGTGAGCCCCATAACTGCATGTTCTTTCTCAGAAAATAGCACGAACATATTTTTGCATAGTCTTAAGGAATTGTGGGACTCTATGGAAAGCTTATTTGCTGTAGAATCTGGACTTCATCACACTTGTTGTTAAACCCGAATGTAGTTCCTCAAGCAAACGCGATCCTAGGTTGCGTAAAACTATATTTGTGAATACGTATGGATCTTATTATGAATATTGTTATCAACTTGATCATTAACAATAATTGGTAAGAAACGTAACATGGATTTAAATTGTATCCTCAAGATAATTTGAAGATGAATAAGGTGGTGTATTAACAATAATTGGTAAGAAATCATTCCTAATAAGATTTATTTTTAAAACCTGAATATGTTGTAGTTGAATAGACTGGTTCTTACTTGAATGCATTCGGTGTGTCCGCTCCACCGTTGCTATGAAACTTGTTTTTGGAGTCCAATCCTACAACGTCACATATATATATAAATGACTATCCTGTATTTATATTCATATATATTGATTGTGTGTGTAATTTTGTATATAGTGAGTTATTTATATAACAATTAATAACTGACAAATTACAAATTATCTAGTACATTCTTGAAGATGGCGACAGGTCAAAAAATCTGTGACACACGTTAGTAAATGTGCCTTTTTTTTTTTTTTTTTTTTTTTTGGGAAAGTTAGATGTTACTGCTTCCCTTTACCCTATTAATGGAAGTGTGGAACCCAGGAATATCCTTTACGACTTTTTTTTGTTGTCTTGTTCTTCTTGCAATGCCCCATTGTAATGGAGAGGACTATCCAATAATTTCTTCTTCAAATAGGCTTCTTTTTTATGGGTAGAATGTTACCGATCATTGTGTTGACTAAGGGATCATCATTCTTTAGGATTCGACTTTGATATCAGTTGTTAGATTAATTGTATTTAATTAAAATATTAACTATTAGTAAAGTGACATTTATCTATATAAATCCTAAATTTTTTTCTTTACTAACGGAGAGTGAGACTCGTTCAACATGAAACATGGTGGTTTAACTCTTTTACTGTTTATTTTCATATAAATTTCTCCCCTCCTATATATGCACGTGTATATTTGACCTTCAAGAAAATTTGTTCACTCTCTTTTTTGTTCACCGTCTTCTTTATTCACTCCAAGGCGATGTCTTTTCTTCTAATTATTTCCACACATAATGAACCTACTTTCGCACCATATATGTTGCTAATACTATGATGATAAAGTTCTTACTTTGCAACTTTTGCTAAATATTTGTATGTTCTTGGGTTATGGAAATTAGGTAAACATACTTAGATTTGCACTTACGTTAATTAGCTTTAAATGGTTGTTTTTGTTTTCCCTGGAAAATCTGTATATATATATAGTTTCCTTGCCACTTTACCTTGTTGTGAAGAAAGTTTATATCTAAGTCCTCCTAGTTGTTGTTTTTGTGTTTAACAATCTATATTTAATGTTCTTGAATTTTTCATTTTAATTGTTATCTTAAATATTAACATTTCTGTAGTTGGATTCACATGCTATGGGCATATATCAGTCTTGGAACAGAGTTTCCTATGAGAACCTCATACTGAAACTGAAGTATGTTGTTTTATGTTCTTCAAAACAGGGTGAAATTTAAGCTTTGTGATCAACAATTCACCATGAAACTTATTTGGGTAATTGTGTTGATGGTTTTCTGTAATCGGTACTTTTCAAATGGAGCCAACATAAATGTTTCAACAAGGCCTGAAGTTGTGAACATTGGTTCCATATTCGTTTTCGATTCTATAATCGGGAAAGTTGCCAAAGTTGCCATAGAAACTGCAGTTGAAGATGTGAATTCCAACCCTAATGTTCTTGGTGGAACCAAGCTCAATCTTGCAATGTATGATTCCAATTCTAGTGGATTTCTGGGCATTGTAGAGGGTACACACTACACACCCTTTGTAACCTCTCTAGTTTTCTTCATTTCTGTCGTTTTTGCTTCCTAATATGAGAGTTTCTTAGAATCTAGTATGATCACAGTATGTAAATGTTTGATTTTGATTACTGATAACAGCTTTACGGCTCATGGAAGATGAAATTGTTGCCATAATAGGACCTCAATCGTCCGTTATAGCTCATATGATTTCGCACATTGCAAAGGAGCTGCAAGTCCCTCTTTTATCCTTTGCAGCAACAGACCCCACCCTGTCTTCACTTCAGTACCCGTTCTTCGTTAGGACAACGCAGAATGATCTGTTCCAGATGGCCGCAATTGCAGAAATTGTTGAGTACTATGAATGGAGAAAAATAATAGCGCTCTATGTGGATGATGATTTTGGCAGGAATGGGATAGCAGCCTTAGCAGATCAACTTGCCACGAAAAGTTGTCAAATCTCTTTTAAAGCACCAATGAGGCCTGAAGCAAGGCGAGCTGAGATCATGGATGTCCTAGTTAATGTGGCTTTATCCGATTCTCGGATTCTTGTTCTTCATACTTATGACAGTTGGGGTCTAGATGTACTTGCTGTGGCCAAATATCTTGGGATGTTGGATAGTGGTTATGTGTGGATTGCTACAAATTGGCTCTCTAATGTTTTGGACACTAATTCTCCTCTCCCTTCAGAGGTAATGGGTAATATTCAAGGAGTAATCACATTGCGAATGTACACTCCGGATTCAGAACTGAAAAGAAACTTTATCTCAAGGTGGAGCAACTTGACAAGTAAAAAAAGGGCTAATGGTGGTTCTTTTGGATTGAATACTTACGGCCTATATGCCTATGACACTGTTTGGCTGCTCGCTCGTGCAATTGATGCATTTTTCAATCAGGGTGGAAAACTTTCCTTCTCTAATGATTCCAAGTTAAATTCGCTGCTCGAAGGGGGTTTGAATCTTGATGCTATGAGCATCTTTGATGGAGGAAACTTGTTGCTTGATAGCATTTTAAAGGCTAATATGACTGGTCTAACAGGACCAATCAAGTTTACTCCTGACAAGTCCTTGATTCATCCTGCATTTGAAGTTATTAATGTCATTGGCACAGGCTATAGAAGGATTGGTTTTTGGTCAAATTATTCTGGATTATCAGTTGTGCCTCCGGAAATACTCTACACCAAGCCACCAAATCGTTCAAGTTCAAATCTGCAACTGTACAGTGTAATCTGGCCTGGACAAACTATACAGAAACCTCGCGGATGGGTTTTTCCAACCAATGGAAGGCAGTTGAGAATTGGAGTTCCTAATGGCGTTATTAATCATGAATTCATTGGAAAAATACCGGGCACTGATATGTTCAAAGGGTACTGCATTGATGTATTCATTGCTGCCCTGAACTTGTTGCCATATGCTGTCCCGTATAAATTCATAGCATTTGGAGATGGTTATGTTAATCCAAATTGTACTGAGCTTGTGAGCTTAATTACTACGGGTGTGAGTATGAGAAACTCAGCTTGGTCATACTTTTGATGCACTGCCCGCTTTTCGTCTAATTTCCCGGTTTTTTCTTCTTTGATACAGGTATATGATGCTGCAGTAGGTGACATTGCTATCACCACTAATCGTACAAAAATGGCGGATTTCACTCAGCCATATGTCCAGTCAGGGCTAGTCGTAGTGGCTCCAGTTAGGAAGCAAAATTCTAGTGCTTGGGCTTTTTTGAGGCCGTTTACTCCAAAGATGTGGTGTGTCACAGGGATTTCTTTCATAATTGTTGGAGCAGTTGTTTGGATTTTGGAGCACAGGATGAATGATGATTTTCGCGGTCCCCCTAAGAAACAAGTTTCCACTATTCTATGGTGAGAACCCAAGATATATTTGCAAATTTATATGACAATGACAAACTAAAAGTTCACTTCCTCTTTGATTAATTAGTGCATGCACATCAAATTGCTAACATTTTGATCTCCTTTTCTTTGTATAGCAATATGTTGGTCATCTTTGATCGTTTTAATGTGTGAATCCCATCTTTTTCATCCATGTCCCTTTGTTGCTGATCTTTGTGCTTCACTTTGCAGGTTTAGCTTTTCAACTTTGTTCTTTGCCCATAGTAAGTGATATGACATTGTTTTGACAATCCTCTCTACTTGTCACAGAGTAGAAGTGATCGAGTTTCTTTTTTCCTGTTTAATGCAGAAGAAAGAACAGTGAGCACCCTCGGTCGCCTTGCGCTTATCATATGGCTATTTGTGGTTCTAATTATCAACTCAAGTTACACTGCAAGCCTGACCTCAATACTTACTGTGGAGAAGCTTTCTTCGCCCATTAAAGGTATCGAAAATCTAATGGAAAGCAATGATCTGATTGGCTACCGACAGGGTTCATTTACCCGAAATTATTTGATCGAGGAACTTGGCATTCACGAGTCAAGGCTCGTCGCTCTCAATTCAGCTGAAGAGTTTGATAATGCCTTAAAAAAAGGTCCCAAGAATGGTGGTGTTGCTGCATTGGTTGATGAGCGCGCATATATTGAACTCTTCCTCTCAACCCGGTGTGAATTCAGTATTGTTGGTCAAGAGTTCACCAAAACTGGATGGGGATTTGTAAGCAACTCCTTTTTAACAACATTTCTTTTATGAGATATATATATATAACACTCATTTGTTACACTTTTTTTGTGGCTCATTCAACATTCACACTCACTGCACTACCAGATGCTAATTGTCAACTTAGAAAATTAGGTCACAATTTTGTTCCTCGTTTACTATCAGGCCTTTCAGCGGGACTCTCCTTTAGCAGTTGACATGTCAACTGCCATCCTGAAACTGTCAGAGAGTGGGGATCTTCAAAGGATTCATGACAAATGGCTTACAAGAAGTGCCTGCAGTTCACAAGGCTCAGAGCTTGAAGTAGACCGGCTTCACCTGAAAAGCTTTTCAGGTCTCTTCTTCGTTTGTGGATTAGCATGCTTGCTTGCTGTCCTGGTGTATTTCATTTTGATGGTGCGCCAGTTCAGCCGTTATTACACTGACGAGTCAGAGTCATCTGACAGAAGCTTACGATCGGCAGCACGCCTTCAGACATTCCTTTCATTTGTTGATGAAAAAGAAGAGACGGTAAAAAGCCGATCCAAGAGAAGGAAAATGGAGAGGATTTCAACTAGAAGCAGTACCGATGGAGATGAATCAACAACTGGTTCTAGGAAAATCCATATGGAGTTTTCTTCAAATAGAAGTGCTAGTTTTGACAGTGGAATCTATCCTGAAGCAAGTTAAATAACTTCTCTTTAGCCTTTTATAGTCTATCTTCACATTTGGTTTAGTGGTGTTATTTCTTATAACTAATTAACTGTGATGGTCTCTTGTATGTGCTTTTTGTAACAAAAAAAGGTTGCGCATACCAATTATAATATAAAACCTGGCTTGCAAAAGTGCATTTCAAGTCTCTAAAATTAAGAATAAATTTGCATAATCAGTGCATCTTTTATTTTAATTCGGATTTAACAAAACAAGACAAACAATGAATAAAATACCAACCAGGAAATGCTGGGTAATATAAGTTGATAAGATTAATCAAAAGCGTTTCATACATTGTTACAGACACATTTACATGAATACACGATCAATATTTGATCACGTATCAGGACATATATTAGGGCATCTACCATTAGTCACTAAGATACCTACTGACTACTGAGTATTATTGCTTTTAAAGTACTTGTGAAAGAACTCTTCCTCGCTACAGTACTCGAACATAACTTTATATACTTCAATGAAGAGCTTTGGGAATCGAATTGCAAAATAGTCATCGAAACCTTCAGGTACTGGTCCAAGAATTTCCTGAAAATAAACAGCCGAAATGGAACTCGTATCAGCTATAGTAAAATTGGGATATTGAGACTTTACCAAAGAAGAACATCACGAAATTGTCAACAATACTCATTGCCCTTACCATTATCATACACATACAATCTGTGATAACAAAATAAAATTCACGTTTAAGAGAGTAACACACAAACAGGAACTTCAAAGATAGCATTATCAGAATCTTGTCAAGCAGAGAAGTCTAGAAGGTCGTGAACTTCGGCATTCTATTTTGAATATGGCTCATAGTCGCATACTACAAAGGTAACACTCGATATATAACCATTTCGGGAATGAAGGTATTACCAATCTTCCAATTGAGGACAGTCCAAAAACATGTGATATTAATAGCAATACTATCCAATCACAGTGCCTATTTGTAACGGGTGGGCACTTGCCCATTTAACCATTAACTTAGTGCTGCATACCCACTAATTTATACATACTTCAACTCCCATCCAAATCCAATGTGGGACAAGTCCCACTTGTAACATTTTCCCCCACCCAAACCCACACAACGCCCTCGTTGTGATAGGGTCACCCTATCTACCCGGGTCCAGACCCGGACGCCCTCTGGGCCGTGCGCTTGGCGTGACACCGGATTAAGAGTTGGATCTGGTTCTAATACCAACTGTAACGGGTGGGCGCTTGGGTAATACTGCATACCCACTCATTTATACAAATTTCAACTCCCATCCAAATCCGATGTGGGACAAGTCCCACTTATAACACCTATGCACAATGAGGAAAACAAAAAAAGAGCCTGGAAGTGCCTAATGGCTTTAGATCCTGGACAAGTGCCGCAATCCTAATAGTTTTTATCGATCCTTAGAACCACAATCCGGTGTGATTAAATCAACAAAATAATGTAACCATAATTATATTAGAAAAAGTAGAACTACGATCCAATGAATAATTGTCAGCATGAGAAATGAACCTGAATTTCTATGGGAAGTTCTCTATAATGATTCAACTTGTTTCGCATTACTCTCAGTAAGTCACGAACACTGTCAAACTTATAGCGTCTGTAACGTCCAATATTATTAATGAATGCAGCTTCCATTTTTTCATCCCATTTTCCACCTAAGGCCGTTGGTGCTATACTTTCTAGTGCTTTTAAAATATCAGAATTAGTCTCCCTATCTTCCAACTCTACTCTGTCGCTGGCATCACGAAGAAAAGACAGCCGTGTCTCAGAACTCCAAAACAAAGGATGATGCAACACCTCCAATGCTTTTGGCCTGCAACAAATAAGAAATTCAATAATTAAAATATTCAAAAAGAATATACAAAAAAATCAAGTTTCGGTAAAAAGGTTATAATTCCTGCTTGTCCTATCAAGATCACTATCAGTAATTACCGAAATGTATTGTTAACTACTGAAAGTTCAACAATTCCATTGTGTTTTAACATCACACTTAAGGTTATACATAATCCAAAAAAAAAAAAAAACGATATTTAGAAAATCATGAATGACATAATATCGGTGGTCATCTGTACAATCAAGGAAAGGATGTGTTTGAAATACTGTTTTCAAATGAAATTAATAATTTCAATTTAGCGAGGCATTAATATCCCACCTAAACAAATGACAGAAAGCTCTAGTCAGGTAATATAATAAATTTCATCGCAACTGAGAGGCAACAAAACCTAAAACTATTGCCAGGCAAATCACCTTGAAATAAAATAAATTTTACCTCAATTCAGCATTAGGGTCTAACAAACGAGAGATGAGATCCACAGCTTCTGGAATGTTCTCCACTAAGAAAAGGTCCACTTTGTTCTTTGCAATATTCATGTCACGTTCAAGACTCTCACCAAACGGATGTCTACCACCAGTGATGCAGTAAAAAAGAAGACAACCTAAACTAAATGTATCCACTGCACGCGTTTGGCGTCCATGGAGAAGCTGTTCGGGAGCTTGCCATCCGGAGCTGCCACATCCTGCAATAATTCATAAACAAAATGATGAACACAATAATTAATAATTATCTATAATTAGAATCAAATTGTCAGAATAGGCAGGACCGATGAAGTAAGACTGGTTGCATCCCCTCCAAAATCTCCTCCTAGGTATACCGCAAAACTAAAGCCATTTCAACTTGATTTGACTTGTTACATCCTTTTCTAAATAAATTCATATATTGAAAACAAGGGAGAAAAAGGATTGAGAGGTCAATTAAGAAAACCAACCAGGTTCCTTATATACAGATTGTTATTTTGCATGGAAAATCAAATATAAGTGCCATTGACCATACAACTGCATCATACAATTGCTATATCAGAAACTTGTTAAGAATACTTGCCAGTAGCATGGTGACCCAAGGAAGACATATTCCCGACAAGGCGTTTGCTGATACCCATATCAGAGAGCTTTGCACATAAAGACCGTTCCTTAATTATCAAAACATTTTGAGGCTTCAAGTCTCGATGAATTATCCCCAATTCATGCAAATGCACAAGCCCAGAAACAATATTCCTGTGTTATACAAACAAAACAGAACATCAGGGAAACGTGAACTAAATTAATCCACTTGAATTCTTATAAGAAAGCCTGCATACTTGGAAAAATATATAAACGTGTGTAGCCTACGACTGTGTTTGCATAGATTTTCATGGTGGCATACAATTCCAATTGCCCAGGTATGGAACCATTCCAGATCTAGTTCCCCCACCTAGTCATCAAATCTAATGGCCCTTTAGCATAAGTTCTGGCAAACCAGAATTTAGAAATTTTCCAACTAATTTATAGATTCATTGAACATAAAAATATTCCTTTTCTTTCATTGTTTCTAAAGGCAATGATGCAGGAAGGGTAGTGAGCTCTGATACCAATTGATGTAAAATGGGTAGGGTGAGTGATATAGAACCAAAAGACAGAAGGAGAGTGACATGAAAAGAGAGGAGAGAAAAGAAATCTGTAAATCTCAACAATATTCAATCATCAAAAGGTACTTAACATGATACATATGCCTATGTATATATAGGCAATACAAAGAACCCTAAGGTCCAAAATAGCTGCTGCAACATAAAAAGTCAATAAAAATGGCTACCATGTAGCCAACCCGTAGCCGTGCCTATGCTTGAAGTTAGGAAATAGCTATTCTAGGTTCCAATGCAGCTGCAAGACAATATACCTTATTTATGGAAAAACCTAGACCTAATACTAATTAAAAGAAAATACTGCAAAGCTAATACATAGTTATCATAAATCCTAAAACTTACAGCAAAACTCTAGAATCTATCTGTCCCTGCCCCTCTTCCAAGCATAGGTGAGAGTCGTGCAATTCACGTGTACGAGTGATGTCTTAATCTCCGTCAGGCAAAAAGGTGCTCTAGAATAATCATAAAAGAAAATGGAATCACCATCACCTATACTAAAAGGACTTGCATAGTGCAGCAAAGTGTCTATTTGTCGTATTTCTTTAAACTCAAATACAGCGAAAAGTATTCTAATATTTTAATGTTATTCTTTTATTTTTCTTAGGGTAAATCGTTGTTTTCCATCTAACAGTGTTCAAAATATAGTTCACTCGTGTTTCACTAATAATGAAACAAGAGAAACATATAAGAGACTTTACAAACAATCATGTGATATACATGAACTATAGGATAGACTAGCTAGGTGCATGTAATGCACACATCCCATACCTACTCACTACACCTATACCATAGGTAAGTATTGATGTCTGAAGCAGGTACTTCACACATTTAGAAACATCAATGTAACATAGACCATCATAAGTAACAGATAAAATATAAAAGGAACTATAAACCAAGGGCTCCTAAAATGTAAACACTCATTTTAGATCAAACTTACATCCCAATCTAGAACAAAATGGAGTTGGCTCATCCTGAAGGATGTAGATATTATCTGATTAAATAATACTTCAGGAATTCAGTACCCAACTTTAGAATGGCTCAGAGTCAATGGTGTGGGTTATTTTCTTTCTACAAACATGCCCAAAGAGCAACGAGTGCGACACTCATCAACAAGGACAAGACATTGTCTTTTGATGGAAAGCACAGCACTGACCTACACGACATGATGTGGTGACAGGTTTTTTCGTAAAAACTAATTGCATCATCAAAACCATAAACTAACCTCATCAGTTTCAGTAATGTAGGTGATGGGTAGCCATTTGCTTTCCACAATTTAATATCTTGTGTAATACCCTTCATTGAGCTCAAATGGACTTTATACTCTATCATAGTTTTTGTAGTTTGGTCCTCTGTACACACTGGGCTTCCAAAGGAATCTGAGTACAGCTGGATTAGATCATTCAAGCTGCAAGCACAACGCTCCAAAGCAAGATACACAAAATCTTGATTGTTTTCCACGCCATACCATCTAACAATATTTGGATGATGGTCAGATGCAATAAGATTCTGAATTTCTTTAAATGCAACATCATGATGGGCCTTGACAAGGCGTTTCACAGCAACTGGACGACCTTCATAAATTCCCTCAAGGACAATGGTACCATTGCTTCCCTTCGCAATTTCTGTGTTGGAGACAAATAATTTACCAACAGTACGTCCATCTATGCTGCCATCAGCTGACTGATTGAGGTTCAACTGCAGTTTGTTATCACTTTCAATGCTTGCATATCCATCCCCAACATCAGATAATGTGATCTTCTCCTTTCCCTCACCAATGCCACTATTCTTTCCTGATTTGCGAATTTTCTTCTTTTTTGAAGGTACAGCTCTAGTATTTAAATTTCTTGGCTGCTTAGCCAACTCAACTTGTTTTCTTGCCACTACAATGCAGCGGTAAGTAACAAGGCCCACAAGAATGGTAACAAAAGGAACAAGAGACAATATTCTAGAACCTTCGGAAAGGATTCTTAATCCATCATTATTAGGCATTTGCACAACTTGCACACCAGCAATTGCTGAATAGTCAGTCAATTGAGGCAAAGAGGTCATTGTATCACTGTTATCGTGGTCAGGAGAGTCTAAAAGTTCATTGGCATTGAGTGGTGAAGGAAGCAAAAGATTTGGAGATGTGTGATGAAATTCCAAAACTTGATCAATCTTCGGTTGTGAAGGAAGCATAGGAAGTGATGCGGACTCTGGGAGCATTACATCTCCACCATGAACCTTGGGAAGCATTTTAGGACTATGGAGAGTTTCTAACATGTTATGACTGCGAAAGCGGTAGACAACAGCCCTTGATTGACATGCCAATGGCATATTAAAACGAGCATCAGGTTCCGAAGGAAGTTCGTATCCAGAATCTGGATGAAGTCCGCTAACTGAATTCTCAATGTCTTGACAAAGAAAAGCTGCCTCAATTTCCGAAAAAGTCAAATTCCACAAAACTTTGTCCGACTTTGGAACAAAAGACTTGAGTGAATAATCCTTCCTCGTGATGTAAAGTGGCATCTCACCGGTTTTCCAGTCCGTAGAACCTGACTGTCCTGTTTCCTCAATAGCAGGATTATATAAAACACTCTTCTCTTCATTGGTCTGCAATGTGGGTGTAGAATCGGATGAACTATACGTATGAATTAGCCTTCCAGTCTTAGCATCAACCAGAAAAACAGTAGTAATTTTAGATCCAACAACAACGCCTCCATTTTCATCTACGTGTGGCATAATCTTCAAAAAATCTTCAACAGTAGATGGAATTTTCTGCGAGTGCAAGAACCATAGAATGATTATGAACATGGAGTTCATGATTATGACAAAAGATAACAATAATTACAACTTAATACAGAAAACCAGTCACATTAATTAGCACCCGTGTGAAAAAGAGAATCCTTGAGCAAAATATATCTCATCAGGTATTTTGAGTACTTTGTGTTCAATTATATATGTGTTTGTATTCAATACTCACTAGTGTATATGAAAGACGGTGGCAAATCCAAATGTTAACATTAGCCAATCAACACACACACACACATACACATAAAAATAAATAAACTAGTAAATCTCACATGCAAGATATATCTCATGTATTTTGAGTCCCTACTATGTGTTCAATTATATATGTGTTTGTATTCAATACTCACAAGTGTAAATGAAAGATGGCAGCAGATCCATATCTTAACATTAGCCAATCAACGCGCGCGCACACACGGAAATAAAATTAGTAAATCTCATATGCACCAAAACATGCTTCTACCAATGTTTTTACACCCAGATCATTTATTGGTACTGTAAAAGGGACCAGGTCACAATTCAACAGGGTCAATCTTCCAGGTCAAATGATCTGGTCTGTGACATCATAAAGATGTCTTCTGTATACTCATAATAAATCTATGAATAAACAAAAAATAAAAATATTAATACATAACACACAATTACACCCATCAAGAACTTTTATACGCAGGAAAAGCACAAAACTAATACCTTGTTTAAGAAGTTAAGGACAAAAGAAACGAAATTGATGATACTTTTTAGCTCCATCATAAATTGTACAGATCTATCTATTTATTTTTTTGATAAGTCTATCTAAAAATTAAGATTAAAATTCAAAAAGAAAATTAATAAATCTTTCACGCTTTATAACCAGCAATCTATATGGCAAAGGCTCTCCTTGGAAGAAGAAGAAAAAGAGGAGGACGAGGACAAAAATAAATACTGCAACAAGCACAAGGAAAATTCCCTTTTGCATTGCAAAGGTAATAGTGCCTCACATGAAAAGACCTCTTCGTCTTCAATACAACTTAAATTGCAAAGAAAACCCAGAGATGGGTTTGAAATCATGAATATGAAGAGCATCTACATTAGCAAGGGAAGAAAACTCTAACAAAGCTGGCTTTGAAATGGAGATATTTTTTGGATTTCTGAACTTTTAAGAGGACAGCTGATGGTTGGATCCGGCAGCATCTGCTTCAACACAAATGCAAATGATCCATCTCACAATCCTTTACTGACAAAATACCTTCTTACGTGCTAAAACAATATGCTGAAAATTGACAATTTCTAAAAACCATCCCACCTTCAAGTTTAATAGCTCGTAAATAGAAGAGCTGTTATAACAAAACTAAATCCTTCAGAATCAGCTTTACAATAATATATCTACTGAAACTTCTTTGTCATCCACCTATGCGATCCATATAATCAGCTGGTCCAATGTAGAGCAGAGGATGTAAGTGAACTGGGTTTACGAATTATTGGGAGCAGGAAAAGGACTGCCATGAAAAAACTTTTCTGGAGAATCACTAATAATTATGGGTCCATTTGGAGTTAATGGGTCAATATAAAAAAATTCTCTAGTGATGTCAGGATCATTTACTTTCTAGTCACAGACAAGGTTTTAAGTCACAATTACAGCAATCATCGTAGTTGCAGTTACATGGATGTAGGTGCAATGGATGTTTTAATGTTGGTTGCAGAGCCACTAACATTTTTTTTTGATAAATGTTGCAGAGCCACTAACATGGATGTAGGTGCAATGGATGTTTTACATGTTGGTGCCACATAACAAAGCCTTGCATTTTATTTTTAATCACATGGATCCCTCAAATGGTAGGAACATGCATGTTTTAGTCCCAGGTTCCCAAAATTATTATTATTTTTTTTAATGATTTTAAGTAGTTTAACCAACAAAAATGATTCAGAATAATCAATGATATTTAGACTAATTTCTTAGTCCCTGTTGGTGGCAAATACCATCTTTCTCCATCCTTGCGTGTAGAACAAAGTCTAAAATGAAAAATAACAACTAAAAATTTTATAATTAAATAAAATAAGCTAATATATCAGAATTTTTTTTTTTTTTGATAAGTAAAATAAGCTAATATATCAGAATTATTTGATGATTCAAGACATGCAAACTTAGATCAACTAATCCTTTGATTTCCAACCTTGAAGAAAGTAGATTTGGCATAGTGACGAAGAACTAAACCAATCAAGCAAAAAAACATCAAAAGACTAAGGCGTAAATAAGTCTCATGATGAATCTATCCAATTCGCAATCATTTGCTAGCATGGTTCAAGTTTTGAGTTCAACATTTAATATATTGAATTTGACATATCTAAGTTGTAAAAGTGTTTTTAGAAGATCTAGAAAGAACATGACTAAAAATGTTAAACATGAGATAAAGAATGAACTTCTTCAATTCAAATGTTGATAGCCTACGTTACATGGTCTAGGATGTGTGTTAAGTGTGGTGTAAAACCAAGAACCGTATTTCTTAAATCTAAGGACACTGGAAAACACCAATTATTCATATTTTATAAAATCCTTCTTTCATTTTCTAGGGTAAAAATAGTGTTCCATGTAAAAAAGAGTGTTTAAAATGGCCATATCAGTGATATCACACATTTTGAAGCAATGATACAACCGGAAAAACAAACTCATAGTAAAGAATGTTATCCAAAGTATATAATAAACTTGAATTATCGTATATATTTACAATGTGCGTGACCAATCAGAAATGTCAAACACAAAACTCGATAAATATGTTAAATGGACTCAGTTACATTTAGCAAGCACGTGCACGCGCATATGTATAAGTGTAAGACCTCTCTAATGCTTTGTTTGGAAAGGAACATAGTTGTTAAAAGGTGCGCTTAGGCTCCAAAAAAAGGTCTGAGCTCATCAAGGCTCAGCCAAAGTGCCTCAACAGACTATAGGCCAGGGCCTTTCAACAAGGCTCACATAAAGTCTTCAAGCACGCGGTCTATTTTTTTAATCATTCATTTATATTGTTTCCTTTGTTTTTTATTTGACCATGAATCTACGTAGTCTACACATATCATATTCGATGAATCACATTGTTTAATCTTATAAATATTTGATGGAATTCATGGGCTTATGTGACTCCTTACCTTCAATCCATCTCTTGCTTGATTCATCTTTTTAATCATAATATAACACATGTTCAAAATTACATAATTATTGTTTTTTTATTGTTGCACAATTATAATGGTATTTGACTTAGTTAATGCCTGTGCATACCAAAAGAATTTATGTGCATTTTTTGAGTATTTGTATTTAATATTCATTTCTAATACACGAGCACCTTCAATCAGGCCCATACCTTATGTTGTGCCTTGCACTTAGGCTCCAGTAGACCTTAGCGTCTTAGTGCACCTTGAACCTTTAATAGCTATAAAAAGGAGAGTAGGAAGGCTGGATGAGACAATCTTAAGTAAGAAGTTTCATTTTCCCTTTTGTTTGGTGAGTGGCAGGGAGTTCAAGGAGATAACACCTTCCATTATTTGGTAGGAGAGAAGAGAATGAGAGGTTGTATATATTTTTTTCCATAACACCCTCGTTATATAATTTGGCAAAATTACATTAAGGGTTATAATGTCATTTTAAATTATACACAACAATTATCATTTTCTTCCCTCCTCTCTTCCTTCCAATTTTGGAAGGAATAAAAACTGGTCAACATACCACAAGTTTTATAAAAACTGCATTGTGATGGTTGTTTCAATATTTAATGAAGAAACTGCAAGCAAATGTTTTGTAAAACACACAGGACGCATACCAAAATTAAAATTTTGGCAATGATGCTTCGCAGGATAACAAAAGGAAGGAAGCCAGGGCTTTCACATGGAACATAATTGAGACCTCGTGTAAACAATTTCAGGGTTGCATTTAGTCTCAATTATCTTAATCAAGGGTTAATAAGCTGGTCATAATTTTTTGAGTACATATGCTATAGCTATGGTGCATTACTGGATTTTGGGTCAAGTTATGCTATTTAATTTTAATATGGAGTCTATAAGAGATTAAGAGGTCTAAAATAGTTTCAGCAATCAATTTTTCTTTTCATTTTTTTTTTTTTTTTTTTTTTTCTATCTTGACCTCGAGTAATTGAATTTAATTTTTAATAATATAAGGTTAATATGTTGCTTGTAACATTTAGGTATGTACTTTTAACAAAATTAGGAAACAGCCTGCCAACCTATAATTAGATATTAGATCTTCCTATTCAATGTAGTTAAGTTATGACCATCTAAGATTGTGTTTGTCTGATGTAGCTTATTCCTTGAAAGGGTGAGAAGTAAGAAACTCTCACATTAATCATAGATTCTTCCTCTTCTCCTTCTCCTTTTCTTTTTCTTATTTCTCAACCACTATTCATAAGTTATTGGTGATACTCCAACAAACAGCCCATATTTTAGCCCTAAAACCCTACAATTCCAAATCCTAATCAATCCCAACCTATTTTCCTGCAAAAGGCCTTTAGTTTAACAATAAAAAACACAAATACTTGCATTCAAAGAACTGTAAATTATTTATATTCCATGCAACATTTCACTTCTCAAAAAATACATTTTTCATCACCTACTCATTTAAAGCCTTACTACCTTTATTCTTCTTTCTTTTTTTTCTAGTTGGTACTTACACACACATGCCTCCACTGAGGTTTAAACCCCTAACCTCCCCTCCCCTTGGGAAGTAGGGGCTTGGTACCGCTAGGCCACAGGCCTGTTGGTTTATTCCACTAACTAAAACTCATTCTCCGACCAAATGGCCTTTAGATTAACATAAAAAATCACATTAAACTTGCTATCTAAAGAATCAAATAAACTATTTATAATTCCAAGCAACATAACACTTTTAAAATGACCAATTCCAACCCATTTTCATTTAAATGCCACAACCTTTCTTCCACTAAGTAAAACCCTAAATGTTCAACTTTTTCCTTAACCTAAGCCCGCCATTAAACCATTTTTAGGTACCATTATATTAGGTTTACAAGTATTGTCTAACACCTAAAATAATAGGATGCAAGTGGTTTTGATGAGGCTATGGTTTAGATAAAACAGAATGGAAAAATAGGATTCATGTATGTGACCCATACCCTAAGTAGCTTGAAAAGCCATGTTGAGCTGAGTTGAGTCACAGCGTTGTCATACATCAAGCAACTTATAAGTAAACATCTAGAAAATACAATCTATATAGGAGGCTTAGGAGCTAACACACAAACTTGGTTCATATGTGTAAGAATCGTACACTATGCCATGTGGCAAGAGAAATCGGCTAAACTATGCAGCATAGTGTGTAGATCAGATGCTTAAAATGTGAACCCGTTAGTAGGAGGTTCAATGTAATTTGACATTGGAAGACTTAATTCATGGCATCCATCCTTGGATTTCATGATTCAAGCTCTGTGGGATAATAACTTATTCGACTTACAAAGTGTTTACTCCACCAATTTTAGCTCATGCTAGCCAATGAGAAGGTGGCACGTGGCGAGTTCCATTGGAGCTTGCCAAACTAGATTATTTCACATACAACTGATTGGGAAACGACACATGGCAACCAAAAGGAAAGGGGATTGCCTGCAGTTATATTCCACCAGAAAGTTAAGTCTTGAAACTTTACACCATTCGAATGCTGCCACTTGGAGCTGAAGACTAAGTCAAGAAAAGAAAGGATTCAATGAGAGACGAACCACCTAAAGGAATGTACGTGGCATAATCTAAACAGGTCAGAGAATTTAATTGCCACGTGGCAGGGGATGACGTTTTAAGGAAAGAAGATTTAAATCAGAATTGACTTTGTCAAAATTGAAGAAGTAACATGTTACTACCACTTACCATATCAGTTGAAGTAGTTCCTAGAATCATGCAATGAATGATCTAACCAAACAAGGAACTATGCAAAGATCAAGGACTCCACTGGAACTAAGTCATACCAAACAGACCACTAATGGAGAGATTGTAGGGGATTGTCTTCGGAGTGACCTGAATGAAGCAACAGAAGAACAACTACCTAAACCGTGTAAGCAAAGTTGCTAAAAAGATGCAAGGTTGTGGTTTTCTCCATGTGAAAATCCAGAGCATGACTAGAAATTTGTGATTGGCATTTGAAGGGGCAGAAATTCTCACTGGGCTGGTGGCGACCCAGCCCACCCGTTTGGGATTGGCCCAGTCCAACCCTCGAGTCCATCCACATATACATCGAGCCCAAACTTTAAAACGGACAGACCGAACACAAGGACCAGCCAAGTTTACTTTGGACTTAGGGTCCAGAATGGAATTAGGGTAGGGAGCAATGTATGATGAATAGGGAAAGGAGGAAAAAGGAAAGGATCTCTTTTGGTGTAAAGCAGGAAATTCTCCATTAATAGAAAGGGATTTTCTGAGCAACTACAGCATTCCACCACCCAGCTTACTCATCAAATGTTGCAAATCGTGGGAATACATGTTCTCAAGTGTGTAATGACACAGAGAGAGAGGAAGAAGGAGGAGGGGGAGGACATAGGACATGACACGATCTGAACATTCCACTTAGAAGCATCTCAACTACTGCTGGAAGTGTTATATCAACTTCCATTAAAATACTCTATATAAGACCCTGATCAGCACACAACCCAAACAGCACTTTAATTTTCATTCAATTCCAGATATCTTTTACATTCTAGCAATGTACTTTCATTATATTTTATTCAAGTCCCGCACTTTAAATACTTTACTTTCAACAATTGTCCTTCAATTCCCTGACTTTCAGTCCTGCACTTCAATTTCCTTTACTCTCCAGCCATAAGAAAACCCTAAGTCCTTTATCAAAGGCAAAAAAGAACCTTGAGGGTGGTCATTCCAGACCCTCATTCAATTGCCTAATGCATTCCATTTCCATCTGGAATATAGTTTGGATGACTCTCACTTGGAACTTCTTACGTTCCTAGCACGCCCGCCAGTTCCATTGGAACTGTGAATTTTACAGCCCAAACACAAGCATTATTGGTCTTGCCCCTGTTTCTCTTAAGTTAAATAATCTATTCCTATACTTTTTTGTTGTACTCTTGTATCAATTTAACTCCAACAACATTGTATCAATAATAATTATGGTAGATTATATAATCCTATTTTATCATCCTACTTGTCAAGGACCTAGTTAGTAAATTCGCGTATGATACGCGAATTAAACGCATACGTACGAATTTTGAAAAAATACTTTCGTTTGAAAGATACGGTAAAATACGCGCGTTTGTTTTCATCATCCCGTATGTAAAACATTTATTAATTTATTCGTTTAGGTTGCTCCGTTTAATTCGTGTTTATACTTTAAAGTAACATAATTGTTTTTTTTTATAATGGTGAATTTTTCTCAAACACACATTCTTAACACAAACTATAGTCCTTTGTTTGATATAGCCTTTCTCTTTCACACCATCAAAATAATACTATTTGTTGTGCAATTTCGGGAAGGCTCTGAGCACTCAGTTGTTCAATATCACTCTATTTTTTTTATTTTTTTTTAATCTCTTATTATTGTCAATCCAATGCTTGATCTTTAATCAAAGTAATGAAACACCTATTATTTTTTATTATTTGTTACCTATTATTCATTGTCCTTACAAATATATGATATATAAGAAAATAATAAGATGTGTATAGTTGAATTTTTGGTCCCGAATTTTTAGTGCATATAACGTTTTATACACGTACGCATCCGTATTCGTATTTTTACGTTTTCGTTTTTATAAAACGAATTTTATAAAAAATATCGAATTATACTCGTATGTTTACGTATCCGTATTTTCCCCGTATCGTATTTTACTAACTATGGTCAAGGATCGTAACTTTAGTTAAACGGCATGCTTTATGTCTTTATATACTATTTTCATGTTAATTTGGACTGCCTTTTATAGCATCATCATTCTCAGAGTTGACCATGCCAATTCTCTGGCATTGGCATATCTAGTGGTCGTAGCTACACATGATTAAATCATCTAAATTGATTTTCTCTCATTTTATCTCCAAAATATTCTACTTTCACTGACTCCTAACTATGCATATTTCTAATTTTATTAGTTCATGACTTATAAATTATCGCATCTATCTCCTCTACCAAGGGCGTTGTAGGCTTGTAGCTTAGTGGTATCTCCTCTGCGTCTCAAAGTGACAGGTAGGGTTTAAGTCCCCATAGGGGCAAATGGGTGCGTGAGTTCCTTGCCAATGGAAAAAAAAAAAAAAAAAAAAAAATTATCACATCTATCTCAACATTCACAATATACCTTGCTTATTTATGAACATGTTGCTCAACTGTTAGAAATTACATTCCAATGAGCATGCCTGATTTAATACTCAGTCTTAAAGAACTTTTCTATATATATATATCATTACTACGATGCATCAACAACTCTCATGCATGTAAACCATCATTCTTTAAATCAATTAACAACATCCTCTCCAATCTCTCCCTCAGAGATGATAGTGGAATGTATTTAAAGAAATAAAAGATAATTTACTTATCAAAAAAAAAAAAAATAAAAGATAATTTGTGAAAGTTAATAATGCAGGTAAAAGACAGATCAGACACCCAACTTCCTTGATATAGAAGAGCAGAAAATGGACTAAATTGGATTGAACTGTCTTTACAAAAAATAAGTTCTAACAAAACATTCCATCAGTTTGGGAAGAACATATGGATCCGGAAGAAGTCAGACTTGACTCAGCAAACCATTCTTAAACGCGTTGATGTGAGAAATAGAGGTGTGAATTTTCATACATACCACTTTCCCAAGCCTGTTGTGTGCATACAACTCCCAGTCATCTCCACAATCTATGAAGTAACCACCACCAGGTCCAGAGACATTTTCTGTATCGTTGTCATGGTTGACAGGAGCTTGATATGAAGAATAAATAGATGAGCCTGATGTAAATGACCAGAGTACTTTTCTAGATTTAGGCTCGATCAAATAGATTGTACCATCCAGGGCAGCAACAAGTGCAGTGTCATGTTCACTGTTTCAATAAAATTATTTGAATAAAGCACACAATAATAGGCAAGGGAAAGGAGTGAACTAACCATGCTATATCAAAAGTGGAAGCAGGTGTAATCCAAATAAAAACTAAATTAAAAAAATCATAGTAATATTGATTAAAAACATAAATGCCAAAGACTATATCACGCATGAATACTAGAGTAAACTCCACTGAAACAAGCCAACAAGTATGTAGAAATTGAAACTCTCAGCAAGATAGGAAGACCTGTGTCCTGAAAGCAAATCAAGACAGATATGCTGGCCATAGGGGGAAGGGAAAGAGAAAGAAGTGTAAGATAATCCAAAATGAAAGAAAATACAAAATAGGATACAAGAAGGGAAGATAATATTGAACGTTGATGATCTTTAAAGTTTGTTCTTCACTTGTTTGGTGCACAAGGAGGTAGGGAGGGAGAAAGAGATGGAAGAAAAAATATAAGTAAATAGAAACTTATTTTCTTCGGATTGGTTAAGAAGAGAACGTGGATAAAGATTAAAAACAGTTCTCTCATCACTCTGGTCAAGTTCAGCGGCTTCAGCCCAAACCAGAACCAAGAATTTGTTCAAGAATTATATTACCTGGTTTTACAGAAAACAAGACAACTTTTTGAAAATTCCAACAATCACAATGAATATACCACCCTGAGCAAACCAAACTCAACTTCATTAACTTTATAAGTGGGCTTTAACGATCCTTGCATCCCACTTCTTCAAAATTTTCGATGTCCATAAATTTTTTACTCAACAAAGCTTTCTGAAATTTTATTCGAAATATAATGCCCATTTATCATGGGAAAAATCAATATACTTCTAATGTCGAATCAGTATCAACTAGGACAGAAATAAAGCATTGGGTTGAACTCTTCTTTGGCGTCAAGGTAATAGCTATGACTAGTCATCGACTCCCGGGAAAGGGTAGAAGAATGGGACCTATTATGGGACATACAATGCATTACAGACGTATGATCAATTTTGTCACGTTTATGCGTAAAAGGAATAATGTATTCCCAAAAATCAGTCAGACAAGTGTTTATAGCATGGATATAAGTAATAGACTATTTGTATTTATGACACCTCACAGCAACATTAAGCATGTATCATAAGAATTATAAACAAATGCTTATACAATATCTCTTTCTGGAACAGAATTTCCTATAAAAATGGGAAATGCCCCAGAGCTTCAGCTCATATACAACTTGGCGAGCTCTAAGACTAATCTACTACTAAACAAATTCCAATCATGAATCAAAGTCAATTTGCTTTACAAAAAGAAGATATCAATGAACTTCTATGAAATGGTTCAGCCAATTGTCTTGATTGTGGGATATCATTGAGAAATAGGAATCCACGTTTTCAAAGGACATGATAATCCATATCACTTAGAACGTGTTATGGATATCACATCACTGTCAATAGTATGAATCATATATATGTGTGTGTATCAGCAGGTTATAACAGGATTAAAACACTAGGAAACTTCAACACGAATCCAAACCCATACGCGTCTATGTCATTTACCTTCAAACAAATCAAATTAAAGACAAAAAAATATATATCAAAATTCAAACAAATAGAAAGTGAGCTTACTTTGACAGTGACAGGAGAGTTCGCTTGGCGGCTCGATTGTGGCTATTGAAATCGTTCCCAATCAGACTCTTATACGAGATCTTTGAGACCTCCGAGTTAGAAACGTCGCCGGCTGAGCCCGATAGCCCTACGACGAGCAAGAAAATAAATAGAAAACGGACAAAGTGGCGTCTCATTGGCGGAATTGAAGCTGATCGGAGCCAATATCAAATCGTCCGGCAAGTCGGTGACTGAGTTGGGTAAATCAAAGATTTTATGAGATTATGGTCACGTGATTGACGATTCAGGTTGTGAAGATCTGTGGGAGACCATCGATGTGCAAGAACGAAGATTCGAATCTTCCCTCTGTCTTTGCGGTTTTGGGATCTCCGAGTCCGTGAGGTTACCGCGGTCGTCTAGGTACGTAACGTCTTGTCAAAGACTAACGGTTCGGTTTTGGCGTCTTTGATCTTTTATATTTTATTTATGTTTCTTGTATTGCCGAAACTTGACCTAAATTTCTGTAATTTGATTTTAGTGTCCCTGTGATTTGTGGTATTCAAGTAATTCGCCGTTGGTTTTATTTTATATAACACTTGCATCCCTCTTGCAAATTAAGGGTGTGTTTTATTGTACGTGCAGCATTCTAGTATTAAATAGTCGTTTATTAACTTTCTATTTATTTTTTCTATTTTTTATTAATTGTCATTTCTCAAATTAAATTTGGGAATCACCTCAAATAAAAACCCTATATTAATCTAATAGATTTGCAATTATACTAATTTATTTCCGTATCTTAATTAAGAATAAATATGTAAAATTATTTGAAATTCCAAGTTAGACAAGAGAATCCAAAATTATATACAATAAGGTTTTGGTTGTTTTAGTTTAAAAAATCACAGATAATTTTTAAAGACATAAATAATTGCTTAGTTGAGTCGGCCAAAATAGCGATGGTGTGGGACTGGCCAAAAGCAAGCCCCACAAGACTTGCCGCACATATCACAGTTAGCATATATTTCTGGACAGATCAAATTTTGGTCGGCCTGCATCATATGGACTGCCCTTCTTCTAACTAATAGCAAATCCCCAAAATTATTTTCTTATATATTATTACATCTCTATTTTTTTTATTTCTTTATATTATTTAACCCAAACTTATCAGAAGCCCACAAAAAGTTTTATTTCCTTATTTTATTATATTATTATATAATATCAATTCTCTTAAAAGAAAAGTTTAACACTTTGAAGTGTGTTCATATTATTTTAATTATTATCAAATAAATTTGTATTAGAAATGTAGAAAAGTGTCAACATAAGTATTTTGGGAAAGTGTCCAGTGTAGGCTAAATATTCAAAATTTATTTATTTTTATTTATGGACGCTATATAGTGTCTGTTTGAGGAGTGTCCGTGTTGGACACAGATAAAATACAAGTATGATTTTTTTTATTGAAGTGTTTGAATTTTCTAGATTATATATTGAAAAAATAATTAGCAAAACTGGAACACAAGAATCTAATAAGTAACTTTGCATCAATCATTAACTTGTGTACGGAATGGCTTCCCCTAGCAACATTGAATGGAACTTCTATTACCCAGCATTTCCTGTATGGTATTCCATCTTCTATTTTTTCAAATTTATACTTTCTTTTTGTTATAAGTTCAGCATAAAAAAATAAAAATAAAAAACTCAAGAAAGCGTTTCATGGCAAAGAACAGGGATAAACTTGCAGCCTATTATTATGCTAATAATAAAAATGCACAACTTTTTGTTACAAAAAGCACTTACGTACAAGAGACCAACGCACAGCACCATGAAACCAAATGTAAAGACGGACTATAAAAAGCTGACTGAGAATTATTTAACTTGCTGCAGCACATTAGATTTGAAATGGGAGGAAATAGTTTAAACTAAATTTTCTCCAAAAGCCACCAATTACTAGACTCCACTGTCAAAACTAACGGTTCTGTTTGAAGAGAGCTCCATATGGATTTTCTTGGAACCATCTGTTGATTCAACTTCCTCACTGCTTCTGGTTGAAGCCCTCTCCATCTGCCTAGTCTTGGATCGGCTTTTTACTGTCTCTTCTTTTTCATTAACAAATGAAAAGAATGTCTTAAGGCGTGCTAATCGCGAGCTTCCACCAGATGACTCAGACTCATCGGAGTAATGATGGCTGAACTCGCGTACCATTGAAAGAAAATATAGTAGAAGAGCAAACAAGCACGCTAATCCACACACGAGGAAGAGGCCCAAGAAGCTTTTCAGGTGAAGCCGGTCTACTTCAAGCTCTGAGCCTTGTGAACTGCAGGCACTTCTTGTAAGCCATTTGTCATGAATCCTTTGAAGATCCCCATTCTCAGACAGTTTCAGGATGGCAGTTGACATGTCAACTGCTAAAGGAGAGTCCCGCTGAAAGGCCTGATAGTAAACGAGGAACAAAATTGTGACCTAATTTTCTAAGTTGAGAATTAGAATCTAGTAGTGCACTGAGTGTGAATGTTGAATGAGCCACACAAAAAGTGTAACAAATGAGTTATATATCTCATAAAAGAAATGTGGTTAAAAAAGAGTTGCTTACAAATCCCCATCCAGTTTTGGTGAATTCTTGACCAACAATACTGAATTCACAACGGGTTGAGAGGAAGAGTTCAATATATGCGCGTTCATCAACCAATGCAGCAACACCACCATTCTTGGGACCATTTTTTAAGGCATTATCATACTCTTCTGCTGACTTGAGAGCGACGAGCCTTGACTCGCGAATGCCAAGTTCCTCAATCAAATAATTTCGGGCAAATGAGCCCTGTTGGTAGCCAATAGGGACATTGCTCGCCATTAGACTTTCAACACCTTTAATGGGCGAAGAAAGCTGCTCCACAGTAAGTATTGAGGTCAGACTTGCAGTGTAACTCGAGTTGATAATTAGTACCACAAATAGCCATATGATAAGCACAAGACGACCTAGGGTGCTCACTGTTCTTTCTTCTGCATTAAACAGGAAAAAAGAAATTTTATCACTTCTATTCAGTGACAAATAGAGATGATTATCAAACCAGTGTCATATCACTTACTATGGGAAAAGAACAAAGTTGAGAAGCTAAACCTGCAAAGTGAAAGCACGAAGATCAGCAATAAAGAGACATCGATGGAAAAATAAATAAAAAATGGCCGACGTATTGCTATGCAAAGAAAAGGAGATCAAAACATGTTGATGTGCCTTGTTTAATCTTATAGTTAATAGAGAAAACTGTGTTGATTGAAGAATTGGAGCTTTCAGCTTCAGGGTGCAGCAATTTGATGTGCATGCACTATACTAATCAAAAAGGAAGTGAACTTTTAATCTGTCATTGTCATATAAATTTGAAAAAAATCCTTAGGTTCTCACCATAGAATAGTGGCAACTTGTCTCTTAGGGGGGCCACGAAAATCATCGTTCAATCTGTGCTCCATAATCCAAACAACTGCTCCAACAATTACGAAAGAAATTGCTGTGACACACCACATCATTGGCGAAAATGGCCTCATAAAAGCCCAAGTACTAGAATTTAACTTCCTAACTGGAGCCACTACGACTAGCCCTGACTCCACATATGGCTGAGTAAAATCCGCTATTCTAGTACGATCAGTGGTGATAGCAATGTCACCTACTGCAGCATCAAATTCCTGTATCAAAGAATAAAAAACCACAGGATTAGACATAAGGCAGACAATGTAGCAAACGAATGACAAAGCTTACTTTTTCATACTCACGCCAATAGGGATTAAGCGGACAAGCTCAGTGCACGTTGGGTTATTATAACCATCTCCAAATGGTATTAATTTATATGGGACAGCATATGGCAACAAGTTGAGGGCAGCAGTGAATACATCAATGCAGTACCCTGTGAACATATCAGTGCCTGGTATTTCTCCAATGAATTCACGATAACTAACTCGGTTAGGGACTCCAATTCTCAGTTGCCTTCCATTGTTTGGAAAAACCCATCCGCGAGGTTTCTGTGTAGTTTGTCCAGGCCAGATTACACTGTACAGATGCTGATTTGAAGTGGAACGAGTTGGTGGCTTCGTGTAGAGTATTTCCGGAGGCACAACTGATAATCCTGAATAATTCGACCAAAAACCAATCCTAGTATAGCCTGTGCCAATGACATTAATGACTTCAAATGCAGGATGAATCAGGGACCTGTCAGGAGTAAACTCGATTGGTCCCGTTAAACCAGTCATATTAGCCTTTAAAATGCTATCAAGCAATAAGTTTCCTCCATCAAAGATGCTCATAACATCAAGATGCAAACTCCCTTCGCGCAGCAAATTTAACTTGGAATCATTAGAGAAGGAAAGTTTTCCACCCTGATTGAAAAATGCATCAATTGCACGAGCGAGCAGCCAAACAGTGTCATAGGCATATAGGCCATAAGCATTCAATCCAAGAGAAGCAGAATTAGCCCCTTTTTTACTTGTCAAGTTGCTCCACCTTGAGATAAAGTTTCTTTTCAGTTCTGAATCCGGAGTGTACATACGCAATGTGATAACTCCTTGAAAATTATCCATCGTCTCTGAAGGGAGAGGAGAATTAGTGTCCAAAAGATTAGAGAGCCAATTTGTAGCAATCCACACATAACCACTATCCAACATCCCAAGATATTTGGCCACAGCAAGTACATCTAGACCCCAACTGTCATAAGTGTGAAGAACAAGAATCCGAGACTCGGATAAAGCCACATTAATCAGGACATCCATGATGTCAGCTCTGCTCGCTTCAGGCTTCATTGGTGCTTTGTAAGAGATTTGACAACGTTTCGTGGCAAGTTGATCTGCTAAGGCTGTTATCCCATTCCTACCGAAATCATCATCCACATAAATTGCTACTACTTGTCTCCATTCATAGTACTCCACAATTTCTGCAATTGCAGCCATCTGGAACAGATCATTCTGTGTTGTCCTAACGAAGAATGGGTACTGAAGTGAAGACAGAGTGGGGTCTGTTGCTGCAAAGGATAAAAGAGGGACTTGCAGCTCCATTGCAATGTGCGAAATCACATGAGCTATAACGGATGATTGAGGCCCAATTATGGCCACAGTTTCCTCCTCCATGAACTGTAGAGCTGTTATCAGTAATGAAAATTAAACATTTAGATATTGTTATCGAACTGAGATGCTAAACAGAAATGAAGAAAACTACCGATGTTACAAAGTTGTGCGCGCGTACCTTCTAGAATGCCCATAAATCCACTAGAATTGGAGTCATACATTGCAAGATTGAGCTTGGTTCCACCAAGAACATTCGGGTTGGAATTCACATCTTCCACTGCAGCTTCTATGGCAACTTTGGCAACTTTGCCTATTGTAGAATTGAAAAAGAATATGGAACCAATGTTCACAACTTCAGGCCTTGTCGTAACATTTGTGCTCACTCCATTTGAAAAGTACCCATTAAACAAAACCATTAACAGAAGTACCCAAATTAGTTTCATGGTGAATTGTCGATCACAAACCTTAATTTTCACCCTGTAATGTGAAGAAACACAAACGAACATACTTCAGCATCAAGTTTTGATAAGAAACTCTATGTTCCAATACTGATATATGCCTAGATCATGTGAAGCTAGCAACTGAATTGTAACTAACTAAGCAAACAATAAAAAGGAAAAATTCAAGAACATTATTAAATAAAGATTGTTAAAAAACATAATTAACTATTATGAAGACTCAAGATCTAAATTTGCAACAAGGTGAAATGACAAGTAATATAGCCAGATTTTCGGGGGAAAACAAGAACAACTTCTTAAACCCTAGTTAACATGAGTGCAAAACTAAGTTTATTTAGTTTAATTATCAAAACCCAAGAAGCTTATAAAACCCCAAAAAAACCCAACCACATACACATATTTAGCAAAGTTGCAGAGTAAGAACTTTTCCATCTTAGTATTAGCAGCATGATGTGAAAGGAGGTTCATCACCATTAAGTGAACAGAAAAGATGATGAACTAAAAAATGAGAAGGTGAACAAATCTAAAGCAACAAAGAATAAAAAACAAGATGAGTTACTTGCTTCGGCATATAGGCCACGTGCGCAGAGAAGAGGGGATTGTTGTTGTTTAGTGTATCTCTACGGAAATCACCTTAATGAAAGAAAATCAATGACACTTATTAAGGGCTACGATTTTTAAAAAATTTCCATCAATATTTCATCATATCAACCTCTGCATAGAATAAATCTTGTTGAATGTTCAAATATATATATATATATACACACACACACACTAAAATGAAGCAATTGATTGGGTTCCATACTTCCATTAGCAGAGCCCAAGTTAATCTACTCATTCGTGATGATTGAACCTGTCGCCATCTTCACGAATGAGTAGATATTTGTATTTGTCAGTTGTTAATTGCTATTGTTAACTGTCACCCCACAAGTTCAATCAATATTGTTCTTTCAACATTTTATATCAAATACACCCAAATATTAATAATAATAATAAATTATAGGGTAAAGTGCAAGAAACCCCCTTGAAATATATCCCTTGTGCAACTAACCCCTGAAACTACAATATCCCTTGCAATTTAGGACATAGAAATCATATCAGGTAAGTTTCCGTGGCCGGAATTTGGTAAAGTCGTTTTTGCCCTTTAGTAAAACGTGGTCATTTAACTCTTTAACCATGCTTTTAAAGTTGATTAATTGATGTGGCCCCTTGTATTCTGAAGAACCACTAACAATTCGACACGTCACCAACCTTATCACCATTAACTGCTTATCTCTTCCATTCATTCTGTTTTTCTCATTTTCTTTTTCCAAATTTTATTTTTTACCGTCGTCTCTTCCATTCATTCATTCGTATTGCACTCACTAAACTGTTGGGTCGCTGAAGCTCTTCGAGACTTCGATGTAGGTCTTTTGAAACTGTGGCTCGCCGGAGTTCATCGCTGAAGTTTCTGGGTCTGTCTGAAACTAACGGTTGAGGTTCGCTGAAGCTTTTCCAATGGATTGAATGTTGACGCTTTTCAGGTTGGGTCGCTTCTCAAGCCCTCTATATGGAGCTCTTAGTTAGGTCTTCAATGGAACTCTAGTTCAGTTCAAACACCTCTCCAAACCATTTTTCTTAATTATCTTGTCTTGGCAGCTTCAGTTCGGAGCTCACCGATCCAATTTCAATGGACACTGCCGCTCAGAGCTCGCCAGAATGGATGGGTCATTGTAGCTCTGCACTTGTTTTCATCTTCGGTTGGGCCGGTGGTCATTTAGTTTGAAGCTTTCGGGTCGTCGGTTTGATTTATACGGTTAATTTAGTCATTAATGCTCAGAGCTTCTCGCCGGTTGAATTGTTGTACTTAAACCTTTTCCGGTTGTCAATGTTCTTTATTCTGGAAAATAAAGAACTGTACAAAGGCAATGCTATATAGGTGCAGATAGCCCCTGTCCGGCCGTGATGAAGTTTAGAATCAAATAAGAGTAAGGGTAAGAAAAGTACACTAGATTTCTTTCTTCATCCAGTTCAAGTTCAATTTTTGGTTGCCCCTCATACTTAGATCTTTTGCGAGGGAGAGCCTGTGAGAAAGGAGTCACCTCACCAATTTTCTCTAATAATAACACCTTCGTTTTCATTAAGAACCTCTTTTGTGTTGGGAAAAAAAAAAAATGTGATCTTTTGATATTATTTTAATACTCATTCATCCAAATATATGTTTCATCTTCCCAATTTTGTTCCTCCTTTAGCATCTTATACAATTTGTTGGTTTGATCTCTGAAGCTCACTGATTTGTTCTCTGAAGTTTAGTGTTCCATTCAAGGCTAAGAATTTCTGGGACACACAAATAGGGCATGTTTGGCTGGGGGGGTCTAAAGATTCTAAGAAGGGCAATTAGGTCTTTTAATTTTCATAAGGGCTTTATGGTCATTTAATTTAAATTGGGTAGTCACGTGCCATTTTAACAATCAAAATTCAACCTCTGACCGCCGGAGTGGGTAATATGCACCAAAAAAGGTTAGTTGAGGGGGTTATTTGTAACTTTTATAATTTAAGGGAGATATTTGCTAATTAGGTCATAATTTAAGGGAGTTTGTTGCGCTTTACCCTAAATTATATCCCGTTATTTCCTTTACCTTTCATTTATTTTCAAATAAACGGGACCTTAAATTCTCCTACGCATTTAAGTGAGATGTTAGCCGATGACTCGTGGCTTTTTAAGTCCTCTGATGCATTTAATTGAGGTGTCTCTCTGTGGGCCTCTAAAACAAGTTTCAGTAGAAGGGTTGGACACTGAGAGATGTGACTGCTTTGATTGTGGACAGAAAAGAGTGAAAAATAAAAATTTAATGAAGAAAATTGGTGGTTTGTTTGTTGGAGATTAGAAAAATATCAAGATTTACAATACTGAATATATGAATGATTTATTTCAACGAACCAATCAGATATTTATAAACAACAAGCAATACTAAAGAAATAAAAATTATACATATTTTTTTAATTATATATATATATATTTTTTTTTTATTTCCATTTTGTGGACTCTATGGACACGAACAGTTAAAAGTACAACAAATCAAACTCACTATTATCAAAATGATACCAATGTGTCACTTAACGTATCTTTCAATGTGTCCACAGTCTTTATGAAATATGTTTTGCATAATAGTACATTCTTATTTATATTTATATAGTGCTTTCAGGGGCATAGTGATATTGATAGTGATTCGATAAGTAAGTTTTGGAAGTCTCGTTCTCAAACTATAATCCTAACTTGAATGGTACTTGTATTATAATTATGTCCAGATGCTTTAAAGATTAGGAAAAAAAAAATTTATATTCATATATTGATTGTGTAGAGCGACAGTTATCTATAACAATTATAACCACAGTGGATTGATGGAACTTGTTTTTGGAAAAGTCCAACTTAAATGGATGATGCATCAAGGCCCTATTTAAGCACTCCATTGACATATTCAACTACGTAGTACATATTTAGTAGGTTTGAAAATCATTTCTCAATTCATAACTCGGACAAATGTTTATACAGGTGGGACTCATTTTGTCCAATAGTGAACCCATCAAGCAATGGTCCTGGTATATTAGAGATTTTTTTTTTTTTTTTTTTTTTTTTTTTTTTTTGTTAAAATCCTGGTATATTAGAGTTGCTCAATAGAAATTTGATGTTAGTGTTTGAAAGTATTGAATAAGTGCTTTGACTTTAGAATGGTAGGATATTTTTTATTAAATTTTTTTTTAATTTCAAATTTGAAGTTCGAATTCATAATATTTAGTATAAATTTTTAGCTAAATTTCTTTTAATTTCAAATTTTAAAAAAATAATTCCACAATCTCAAATATAATATAAATATATTCTGATTTATTATTGAGTTTGGTATTTCTCGCTCAAACGGAGTCCGAGCAAGCTGAGTTCTCCTAATTAACTTGAGATAATAGAGGTTGGGTGTCACATTCAAGTCCTTGGCAATCAATATCTAGAACAAAGAATCTAAGAACAAGTCCAATGGTTCAGGTTTGAGAGATTTTAGACCCAATTTAGAGATGCAACAAGTCCAATGGAGTCTCCAATTGTAAAGCCCAAAAATTTGGGTCGCGGAATGGGTCGCCTAAAACGGCGACCCAGTTGGCTTTAGCACGCTTGCCTTGTGCCGGCCTGATTTTTTTTTAATTGTTTTAAGTCCAAATCACTGTAGCCCTTAACCCAAGGCATGTTTGGTTGGAAAAAATATTCCAGAAACCTGTTTTTTAGGTTTTTTTGGCTGTTTTTTTTTCTTCTTTATTTTTTATTTTTTTTTTCCCTCAACATAATTGGACAAAAGAGCCGTTAAAGGCTTTTTTGGGTAAAAAAGTAAAAATAAAATAAAAAACAAAAAAGAGAAGTGCTTTTTAAATAGAAAAAAATATATTGTATATGCTTGTGCCATATGATTGTTCTTTTAAAAAAGGAAAAAATTGTCATGTGGTTGTTATTTTTTCCTAATTAATTTTAATAATGGTATTGTTTATTTTTTTTAAAAAAAATCATATAATATTGTATTGTTTTAATTTTTTTAATTCATAATAAATATTGTATTGTTTAATATCAAGATTTACAATACTAAATATACGAATGATTTATTTCAACAAACCAATCAGATATTTATAAACAAAAAGCAATACTAAAGAAATAAAAATTATACATATTTTTATTATACATATTTTTTTAATTTTATATATATATATTTTTATTTCCATTTTGTGGGCTCTATGGACATGAACAGTTAAAAGTACAACAAATCAAACTTACCATTATCAAAATGATACCAATGTGTCACTTAACATACCTTTCAATGTGTCCACAGTTTTTATGAAATATGTTTTGTATCATAGTACATTTTAATTTATATTCATATTGATAGGGATTCAAAAGGAGAGTCTTTAAAGTCTCGCTTTCGAACTGTAATCCTGATTTGAATGATACGTATATTATGGAGCGTATCCAAGTGTTCTAATGATAAGGGGAAAAAAAAAAAAAAATTATATTCATATATTGATTGTGTATAGCGACAGTTATCTAACAATTATAACCACAGTGGATTGATGAAACATTTTGGAAAAGTCCAACTTAAATGGATGATGCATCCAAGGGCCTATTTAAGCCCTCCATTGACATATTCAACTCCGTGGTACATATTTAGTAGGTTTCAAAATCATTTCTCAATTCATAACTCGGACAAATGTTTATACAGGTGGGACTCATTTTATCCAATAGTGAACCCATCAAGCAATGGTCCTGGAATATTAGAGTTGCTCAATAGAAATTTGATTTGGAATTGAAGGATATTTATTATTAATTTTTAATTAAATTTCTTTTAATTTCAAATTTAATGTTCGAATTCATAATATTTAGTATAATGTTCGACAATCTCAAACAGAGCCCGAACAAGCTGAGCTCTCCTAATTAACTTGAGATAATAGAGGTTGGGTGTCACATTCAAGTCCTTGGCAATCAATATCTAGAACAAAGAATTTAAGAGCAAGTCCAATGGTGTAGGTTTTAGAGATTTTAGGCCTAATTTAGCAATGCAACAAGTCCAATGGAGTCTCCAATTGGCAAGTCCAAAAATTTGAGTTGCGAAATGGGACGCCAAAAAGGACGACCTAATTGGTGATTGCGAGCCTGCCTCGTGATGTTCGCCGATGACGCGTGACTTTTTAAGTCCTCTTGTGCATTTAATTGAAGTGTCCCTCTATGGGCTTCAAAAACAAGTTTCATTAGAAGGGTTGGACACTGAGAGATGTGACTAACTCTTTGATTTTGGACAGAAAAGAGGAAAATTAAAAAATTAATGAAGAAAATTGGTGGTTTGTTTGTTGGAGATTAGAAAAATATCAAGATTTACACTAGTGAATATATGAATAATTTATTTCAACCACCCATCATATATTTATAAACAACAAAAAATACTAGATATATATATATATATATATATATATATTAATTTTATATATTTTTAATTTCCATTTTGTGGGCTTTACGGAGTCGACCAGTTGACCTTATGGGTATAACAAATCAAACTTATTATTTTCAAAATGATACCAATGCAATTATGTGTCACTTAACATATCTGTCAATGTGTTCGCAGTTCTTACAAAATATGATTTGCACAATGGTACATTCTTATTTATTATATTCATATATTGATCATATAGTGACAGTTCTCTATCACAATTATAACTACAGTGGGTTGACGAAACATGTTTTCGGAAAAGTCCAACTTAAATGGATGATGCATCCAAGGGCTGTTTAAGCCCTCCATTGGCCTATTCAACTGCATATTTAGGTTTCAAATCATTTCTCAATTCATAAATCGGACGAGTGTCTATTCAGGTGGACTCATTTTATCCAATAGTATCATCATCATTGGCAATAGTACATAAGAGTTGCTCAATAGAAATATGATGTTATTATTAATTTTTAATTAATTTTTTTTAATTTCAAATTTAAAATACCGATTCAAAATATTTAGTATAAGTTTTTCGCAAATATTTTTTGATCTCAAATATAATATAAATGTATTCTGATTTATTATTAAATTTGATATTTCTCGCTCAAATTGAGTCCCAACAAGAGTTTTCTTAATTAACTTGAGATAATAGGGGTCACATTCAAATCCTTGGCAGTCAATATCTAGAACAAATAATCTAATACTAACTGTTGTTTACCGATAGCTTCTTCCTGCAAATATACAAGCACTATGCTTGTGAAATACATACAGTGATGTTATAGTAATGCATGAATTGGAAAGTATTGTTGTATGTTATATTTCTACCTATTTTCCTTCCTTAGCTGGATCAAGAATTCCAACATTTTTTCGGCAACTTCTTATATATTTTTATTTCTTTCCTCCAAGAAACTCAAACTCGCGATCTTTTGAGACTTGAACTAAGGGCTTTTTAATTTAGAAGGCGAAGAAATGAACTTGCTCTTTGTAATTTTCACCTCTTTATCTTCTTCATACGTTTTAAGTCTGCCGAAGTCTATTATGCTTTCAAATAAGGGCGAATTCATGAATTGTCAATGGAGTGAACTAATATTTCTTTAGATGGATTAATAGTGGTAATAATTTTATTTATTTTATTATTATTTTTTTTGCCTGAGCTAAAATTAGATATAGTAAAATTTAATTTTTTTTTTTTTTTTGGGTAGGCTTGTTTTCAAATGAATCCTTACATTTTAGAACTAGTTAAAATTTTGAACAAATATAATCTTTAATTCCAACCCAACACTTTTTTTTTTTGAGACATTATAATAGAATAAAAAAAATAGTTTAAACTTTAAATTAATTTTCTTCAATTTCAATTTTAAGATGCCGATTTCATATTTCCAAACACAGCATTAAATTGTAGCATAGTGATATCTACTCTATATCTTGAGTGAACAGTAGGTTGTGAGTTCAAGTCTTAATATAAACAAAGTGGATGTATATATTGTCCCATAAAAATTGAGTGCATATGAGTAATAAATCCCCTTAAACTAAAAAGTTGGCATAAAACCCTCTAACTATTCAATTTATTGAAAAGTAATATTATCATGATGAACTAAGTCACATAAAAGCGAGAGTAAAAGCGAATTCAAGAGCGAGAGTGTAAGAGCGGCAAAATTAAGTTATAATCAAGGAGAATTTGAGTAAGAGCGCGCGGAAAACATGAGAGCGGTAGCGCGCTCGGAACATGAGAACAACACCTCTTGAGAAAAATTGTGTGACTTAGATGATGAAAATATCCCTTAGTATAAATTTAAGAAAATAGTTTATCTTAATATAAAATTAAAATTAATACAAATAAGTCATTCGCGGTGTTAAATAAATTTTCAAAACTTTTTAATAGACGTCTATAAGAAAAATGAAAATAATTTCAAATAATTTTTAATTCAAAAAAAAAAAGTTAAAACAAAAAAGAAAACTTAAAATGAAAATCATGTTAAGACCCCTTAAAATTTCTTATATTTACATTAAAGGGCATTTTCAAATTACTTCAATTTAATGGTGTGAGTTTTTTTAACTTTTCTTGAAGTTCTACTTTATAAAAATTAAAAAGAAATTTTTTTTTTTTTTTTTTATAATTTATTTAAAGGACACTTGCGTCAAATTTTTTTATAATTTATTTAAAGGACATTTGCGTCATTATAACAATACTTTTCAATAAATTAGATGCATACAGTATGAGGTTTTAAGTCAATTTTTTCCTTCAAAGGGGTTTCTTGCTAAAACTTAAAAGTAAAGGGGGTTTTTGTAATTTACCTAAAAGAAAAATAGGAAGGTAAAAGCGAGCCCTAAAAAAACAGAAAAGAAGAAAAGAAAAGAAAAGAAAACTAGACCCGAAGGCGCAATCGAAGTTTATAGACATAACTTGCACCGCGCAAGGTGGAGGCAAGGCAAATTAGTGGGGAAAGATGTTGCAGCAAAAGTCATTCGTGAGAAAGACGAGGCAGGGCAAAGTAATCAAGGTCTGTCTACTATCCAAAACCCTAACCTAATAACCTTTCTTCTTCGTCTTCTTTTTCTTATTGGTGGTTTAAGTAGGGTTCTTGATGTGATTCTTGTTTGTTGCAGCAACTAAGAGAACACTATCTCAGAGACGATATCTACTGCGGAGCTTCATTTTGCAAAGTCTGTGATACTTCCGCCGCTCGCTTGACTTCGTCTGACTCCACCATTCTCATTGTCGACACCAATGTTGTTCTCAATCAGGTCATTTCACAAGTTCTTGTTTTACATTGCACAAATTATATATATATATATATATATATATATATATATATATATGTATGTATGTATATATATATATACATTCACACATATATATGTATAACTAGAACTTTGGTTTGGTTTTCACTGTCCGTGTTCTCAGATTGATTTGCTTGAGAATCCGGCAATTGACGATGTTGTTGTGTTATCGGTTGTGCTGCAAGAGGTCAAGAACAAGAATCTTTCGGTTTATAACAGAGTTAGAGCCCTGTGCAGCAATTCTACGAGGAAGTTCTTTGTTTTCTCTAACGAACATCACAGGTGAGTCATCTCTTAATTTTCATCATTTTCACGATGTTTGAATTCTTTCAATTTCTTTTCAACAATTTAAGGAAGCAATGGTCCTGTAGGCAGTCTTCTTATATTTAAGACAAGTCAAAATATCGTTTGGGTCCAAAAATGAAGATACATATAGAAGTTCGTTTACAATTTTAATTAAATATTTTTTTCAAAAAGGTAATTTTAATTAATGTTGTTGGTATACAATACGTCCGTATTTAGAATACTATGTAAACTGGATGTTATTTTCAACGTGCTTTTGCTTTTGATGGCTAGTTTACCACTGCCAATATGCTCTTGGCTTGATTCATTTATATATGCACCTTCCAATCTTATGTACTATGTGTGCGTTCTCAACTTTCAAATTGTTATTTGTTGTGGGTTTTTGTTGCTTTATTTTTCGTAATTGATTATGTTTTATGACTTATTATATAGTACTTGACAATTTTTATTTTATTTATCGATTTACTTTTTTCTGAAGGGATACATATGTGAAGGCAATGGTTGGTGAAAGTCCAAATGATCGGAACGATAGAGGTTAGCCATCTCGATTATCACAATAACAATACATTCCAGATTTTGATTCATTGGTAGTTATTATTACAAGGACTACAGGGTCTTAATAATGCTAAGCCATGGAGCAGTTTTTTGCATATACACTATAAAATCACCGGTTCATGTTGCAATTAATTGTTAAGATATATAAGATGACAGTACAAATTTTTGCAGAAAATTTGGAATTTATAACAGTTACTTCAGATGATTGCATTTTATAAACAATGCTAGTGTAATGATGTCTTAAAAGCTACTTTTAAATGGTGTTCTGTTGTTTTATCTAAAAATGGGGAGCATATGGTGTCTTATTTCACGTTGCGTGTGTTTGCGTTGTCTTGTAATTGTAATCATATACGGGGATGTCTTACAGCATGGTGGGAGTATAACAGGAATACTATATATATTGAAAGTATGAACCATTTTTTTAAGCACACTTTACTGTAATTGTGGTACTTATTCCTGTTTTTAGTGTAAGAACATGCAATTGTAGATTTCCTTCTTCTGAAATTGATGAATTGGAAGTTCAGCAATTCGAGTGGCAACTCAGTGGTATCATAATCATCTTGGTGGTGCAACACGGGTCTTATTAATCACGAATGACAGAGAAAATAAGAGGAAAGCCACTGAAGATGGAATTTGTGCAGAGACAGGTACATAAAAACATGTGATTTGCTTTTTCCTTGTCTTTCCGTTCATGCAGTTCTTTAATGGGTCTGAAATTTTACCTAAAAAAAAAAAGGGTCTGATTTGTTAAATTCCAGCAATGTTTGTTCTGTTGCTGTTGTTGTGGCTTTTACTACTTATGCCACTACTAATAATTTTTTTTGGGATTTAGGGAGGGTTTACCCCCTAGTTTAATGAGAATGATACCCAAACCAGGCAAAACTATACAAACTAGAATCTAAACTATCAAAACTACCCAAACAGAATACCATAGCATGACTAAACCAACAGAACCAGATCAATCGACTCATTAGGAATATGATAAAAACTCTGTAAATCTTTTACTACTAAATATTACATTATTACTTGGATATTGTTAAATTTATCCTTATGAGATGGACTGATTTAACTTATTATACAGACAAGGCTGACTGTTGATTCTCCTTATTCTTTTTCAGTTGAATCATATGTGAAATCACTTGGTCAAGCAGGTTTGCTTGATCTGCTTGTTCAACCATCTTCTGAAGATGTAGACATGGAGGAAGTTGAAGATTTGAGACCTTCAAAGAGGAAAGTCATTTACCCTGAGGTATTGTTGACTACTAGTGCATGTCTGTAACTATAGTTGTCTCCCTGCATAGTAGTGTTTGTTGGTTATGTGCTGTCTTGAAACAACTTCTTGTCTTGAAAACAATTCCTGTTTTCTGCCTTTTGTCCAGCATAAACCCATGTCCGAGATTACGTCAGGACTGCATCGTGGAATTTATCATCAGGGGAAGCTTCGTGTTAATCGTTTCAACCCATTTGAAGCATATGTCGGGAGTGAGAGCATTGGTGATGAGATAATTATTTATGGTCGTGGAAATATGAATAGGGCGTTTGATGGTGATATTGTGGCAGTAGAACTCTTGCCTCAAGATCAGTGGCATGAGGAAAAGACTCTCTCTATAGCCGATGAAGGTATCTTAATGTCATAGTGATTCTTGACTCTTGAACCAACTTTATGTTTATTACATAGACAAAGACATGGTAATAACTTGTGTATGCATAATTTAACATATAAATTTATACACATATTTCTTCAATCAAAGCGCTTTTCCTGGAAAAAGTTACTCAACTATGTGATTCTCTAAAAACTGCTCTCCAGGAATTTTGATTGTAAGTACCTTTAGTGGTTTAGAAGTTCTGAACATCCATGAAATCTATACATGCCTTGTTTGTTGGCAGAAGCCTGAAGGTGGTCATTGGTTTTATGTGCACATAAAGACAAATTCTTAGCTTCTTTATTTTTGGGAAGCTATTGCTTGTTGAAAGAAAGAATATGATTTACTCTTGTATCTGAGAGGAAAGTTTGGAGGCGACAAGAAAGAAAGAGGGGTTGACCATGGTTGTTTTATTTTAGTTTGGTGGCTTTGGTAAATAAATTGAACTTAAGTGTTGTATCTTTTCATTTTATTTGTTTATTAGTTTTTTTATGTTGAGGGAAGGGAAAAAGGTTCTTCCACTATCAGGAAAAGTGGGGATTCTTCTTCCATCCCATCCCATCCCATCAGATATAGCTGGCCTGGCTGGTTAGGTTTCTGCCATTTGCTCTATACTTTTGGCTGTTAAGTTAATTTTTGGACTCTCTCTCTCTCCCTCCCCAAGTCACACAATTCTTCTAAGTGGGCGCCGCACCCGCCCCGCGCCCACCCCCCTCCCCCTCTCTTTCTCACGCACTCTCACTCTCACTCTGTGTAACTTACATTTTGTCGCTTTCACCCTCCCGCTGTGTGACTTAGCTCCCTCCCCTTACATATCATCAATTTAATTTGTTACTTTTTAGCGTTATTGTCCACCTTATTAATTCACAAAGTAATTCTTAGTTATCTTTCTTTTTTTCTTTTTTCTTTTTTTGACAAATGTAGTTAAAACTGTTATGATTAATCTTGCTTTGGTTTTTGGGTTGGTTGATTCTAGTATTGAGTTCACTTTGGTCTGAGCACATGCAACTCCTCAACTACCTTCCAGAATTATTTGAAAACAATACCTCTTTAATAAAGCTTTTGTCGTCTCCTAAAATGAATTTTGTTAACAATCATCTACTCCAAAAGCTTAAGCTACTAGAGAGGGTGTAACTTTAATATTTAAACCCTTCAATACTCCCCCTCATGTGTGGCCTTCTTTTTGGTCCAACATGTGTTTTTCAATTTTTTAATTAGGGTGGTGGTAAGGTTTGAACTCGAGGCGTTTGGCTTTGATACCATGTTAACGACCATCTACTCCAAAAGCTTAAGCTGATAGACAGGGTGTAACTTTAATATTTCAATCCTTTAACAAATTTGATATATTTTCACGTGTCAAAAAATAAATGATTTTGGTCCATAGATTTCAATTCGACATATCATCATCATACTTGTCTTTCATTTGAATGGAGTTGGCCACATGAATCTCCTTTCCATTCTAGTCTATTACCAGCCAATTTCCATTTATATTGATTTATTATTATTATTATTATTTTTAAAATCATTTTTTATTATTTCATGGAGATAATCTTGTTTCGCCCATTTGTTTCTTACCTTCTTTACAAACTAATATTTCTCTAATTGGTTCATCCATGGATTACATTGGATATGTCCATATCACCTATGTAATTTCTCCCTCATCAGTTGATTTTTAATCGTCTCTCTTCTACTGTTAGTATAATTTAATCATAGGTAATGTTGTGTGCTTCGCTTTCTCTCTATAATGTGTATGTCTCCGCACATCGGAAAACAAATGATTTTCATTAACTTTCACTATTTTCCAGAGGACGAGGAGGATGATGATGTTCATCTAGTTCCAGGAAGTGCTGACGATGCTCCTAGAGTAGCAAATCTAACCCAGGGTTCTGCTGGAGAAGCAAATCCTCGTCGCCCTTCTGGATGTGTTGTTGGTATCATAAAGAGAAATTGGCACTCGTAAGTTTAATGTCTTGCTTACTTGGTGTCTTTCTGTGGTTATGCTTTTTCTTTTTATTTTTCTTACAAACCGGTGATTGGTTTAGTTGTCTTGCTTACGGTCGGTGTTTTACTCACTCATCCCTTTTGCGCACAATAAATTTTTGTTCACAAATGGAAGGACTTTACTCTTTAAGTAGGTAATAAATTTCTTACAGGATTTGCTACTGTTTGATGCAGTTGACTGTTTCTGCAATACTTTCCCGGCCTCTTCTTCCCCTGATAAACACTCTCTCTCTCTCTCTCTCACACACACACACACACACACACACACACACACACACACACACACACACCACCATCATCATCATCATCTTCATCCTCATCCATACAGCTGCTTTATGCTAGGTATTACCTTCTAGTCAGTTATGGGGCACCTTTCAGATTTCCCTCTGAGGAGTTTGTGGTATTGCCACTTCTCTGTGTTATTGGGTTTTGTTGTTTCTGTTTGAAATATTTTCAAAAATATATATATATATTTTCACATTTGCTAAATAATTGATTAGCTATTTTAAAATAAAGTATTTGGTGGCTGCTCAGGCACTTCCTCTAGGCATGAATTTCCAATTGTCAGTGACATTTTTTTTGTTTTGCCTTTCTGGTATTTTCCTACTTTTTGTAATGATTTTTTCTTAAGTTATTTGAGAGGCTGTTTTTAATATATTTGACAGTGTTGAAAATTTATAACTGTTTTAATTTTATTATTCTGAAGACCGAACAATGTGGTATAAGCTCATCTAGAATAGGCAATATGAAGTATAGTTTACATGTTTTATAATGCTTAAAATATTATGGAATTTGGAAAAAAAATCTTCATACAGGTCTTGAAATATGTTTATGTAGTTACTGTGATTTAAAGTCATTATGTTTATTGCATTGTATTGTATAATTAGTTTTTTTTTTTTTTTTGAACTGGTGTTGAGACAGTTCAACAATATTACTTCTTCTTCTTGTTCCTCTTCCCTTTTTTTTTTTGGGGGGGGGGGGGGGGGGGGGGGTGTTCTGTGATTTCTGCATGCATTTCACTTTTGCCTGTAGGAAAGTGCTTTCTTAGTTGTTAGAAGCATATCCTCTAGCACATCACTGGTCCTAATTCTATATCTGGGTGGTAAATTTTTGTGGCTAGAGGCATATTTCTCTCGTGCATCGCAGTGGAACTTGTTTTAGTTGTTGGTTTTTTACTTTATTGGTGACAAGTTTATTTTGAGGGAAAAGAGTCACCTATTTCTGTTCTGAAATTCTCCATTGTTTCCACTCTTTTTTGTTGGGTTTCGGGTAGAGATTATAGATCTATTGAGGACATTGCAGATTTTTTGGCCTCTTTGAAGGCTTAGTGGTTTTTGCTTCTTGTTGTTCCTTTGGGATGCGCTCCCCTTTTGAGCGTTTTTTATACAATTCTTACTTATCAAAAAAAAAAAATTGGTGACAAGTTTAACTGCAATACTCATTTATTTCATACTTATTAGAATTTACGGAGGAGGTTTAAAATATTATAGGTGGCTAGAATTAGCGATGTCCCTTGAGTTTTCTCATTTCTGGCAGGGCATTATGTTTTTGAACTTTATGATATCATGCAGATATTGTGGATCATTGGAGCCAATGCCTATGCCTGCAGGCAGTGGTGGTATTGCCCATGCTTTATTTGTTTCCAAAGATCGCAGGTTTCCTAAGATTCGGATTCAAACTCGACAGCTTGGGAATCTTCTGGACAAAAGAATTATTGTTGCGGTTGATTCTTGGGATTGTTTATCTCGATATCCTTCTGGGCATTATGTACGGACAATTGGAGAAATCGGTGACAGAGATACTGAGAGTGAGGTAGGCGGTAATGGGTGGTCTTATCTTCTTTTTTTTTTTTTTTGACTTTTTATTGTTTTCTTTTGGTTAAGTGGGTGATGACCAAGATCATTTACATCCCTGTACGATATCATATCTTTGTTCAGTAATCATATTCTATATATTTTTGCTTGTTGATCTAAAATTTCCTAGTATCAGGAACTCGAGTTCGTTATTGACAAACCTATTTCAATTTATAGCTGTAATCAATTCTGTGGATGCTGCAGGTGGTGTTGATTGAGAATGATATAGATGCAAGACCATTTTCTTCTCAAGTTTTGGCATGCTTGCCGCCATTACCTTGGTCTGTGTCTTCTGAAGATTTGGCAAATCCCATTAGGCAGGATTTGCGTCATTTGCGTCTCTTTAGTGTGGATCCTCCAGGCATTTGACCTATAGCCTTTTCTCTTTCTTTCTTTCCTTCTGTAGTTTTTCTACTTGATCAAATGCCTTTTAGACAGGATCTTGTTATTTTGTAAGGCATCTAATTTTGTTCGATTAATTATGTTTCTGGCTGTCACAGGATGCAAGGACATTGATGATGCATTACATTGTACAGCTCTTGCAAATGGAAATTTTGAAGTGGGAGTTCGTATCCTTCAATCTTCCTATTTCGTTTATGCTGATATTGTCAAAATATCATATTACCAACAACAAATGCCATTAAGGGAATTTTTTTGGTCTGCGGAGCAATCCTTCTCCCCCAGACCTTCTCTCTTCAAAGTATTGAAAAGTTGTATAATCGAAAGGAAATTATTAGGGTAAACAAAGTTGGAGAATGATGTTGGAGAAGGGATTTTACAAAGTTGGAGAATGATGTTGGAGAAGGGATTTTTACTCAAAAGTCTAATGTTTGCTTTAAATATTCATATACGTTGAAATAGCCTATTTCTCTTATTAAGAAAAGGAAAAAAAAGGAACTAAGATGATTTAACCTATTGGTGGAAACTGTCACCTTCTATTGTTTCTTAATTAATATTTGATATTCACTATATTAATGTATGAAGCATATAAACTATCCAGTGCCAAGAATGATGGAATTTTCCTCCATATTAAGAGTTCTGAGCTTAGATGCATAAATGTGATATAAACTACATAGGAACAACTGATTGTACTTGCTCACTTTACTTCAAAAAGCTACGCTTCCAACTGTTTGGGTTGGCTACTCATAGCTAGCTTTGGCAATCCAATAATTGGTCTACATAATTGAAATGCAATTTTCTTTTTCTATTCCCACCATTTAAAAAATAATTTAGTATTTTTTAGTGCTCTAGGATAGACCATCATTGCCCATGTACTTCCAATCTTCAGTTGAAATACTATGTGGTCCCAGAGACATCTCTATCTCAGTTTTTTTTTTCCTCTGGTTTATTTATATATTAATTTTTTGTGGGTGTTGGGTTGCAGCACGCTTAAATATTTGGAAATACTTGTGATTCCTAGTCTTGCCTAGATTAATACGTCCAAATTGATTTCATGATTGGGGATTTCTAGACATTGCTCAGATATTGTTCATACTTCTAGCTTCATTCATATATGTCGTAGCTGAATCAGGAATTTCAAAAGGATTTCCATTCTTCTTAGAAACTCCACCTATGCAATGGTCTTTTCTTTGTCTCTAATGTCTTGAGTTTTACTAGGAATAAGATATTTTCCCATTCACGTTGTTCTCTATGGAAGAAGGGACATAGGCCTTCTTATTAATTTTCTTGGTAGTGATCTCCTTTTGATTACAATTAATTTCTTGAGTTTCAACCTTTGGTTGCATAACTTCTCTCCTTTTTCGAGTGACATCATTAATAGTCCTTCTGTTCTGCACTTGGGCCTCAAAAGCATTGTACATCTCCTTTCTATCTTTTTATATATTCAACGTTTTTCATCTCGACTCTTAACAAGTTATAAGTTTTTACTGTTCTTATATAATAGCAAATTTGTAATTTCTTATCAGTTCGGTAAGTATTTTATAAGTATTTTATAATTAATATTTTTTTTCTTGGTTTTCTTTAGAACACGCACCCTTGCAAAATCTTATTCCCTTCTATTTGTCAAAATAGCTGATAAGCAAACCTTTATTGCCCTTATATTCAGTCAGAATTGTGCTGTCAAATTTCTTTAGACGTTGGTCATTTCCTTTATAATCTTCAAGGACTTCTTTATTAATTTTGCTTGTATTAAAGCTAATGCTGGCATTGCCACATTTAATATGTCTAAAGGTGGTTCCATGCCAGTTCTCATTGGAGAAAGAAGTTTAGATGCCAGACTTCATATTAATCCTTAACAACATGCAATTAGATATTGCTGATGTCACAAATTTTGTTCACCCTGGAACTCCTCTCGATGATGAGGCTGCACAAAGGGGCACTTCAGTCTACCTTGTTGAGCGCAGAATCGACATGCTTCCCAAGCCTCTAACAGAAGGTAATGTTTCTCTCTAACTCCCTTGGTACAATGCTTCCAAAGCCTCTTGATGATGATCTCATGTTTAATGTCATTGTTCTTTGGTGGTCAAACATTTAATTGGTGCAAAAGCCTTTGGGTAGCTTGCTCAGATATAAGCTTTATGTTGCAGATATTTGTTCACTTCGAGCTGATGTTGAGAGACTGGCTTTCTCTGTTATATGGGTACATGCTTCTTAAGTCCCTCTATAATACTTAAATGTCTAGCAACTATGATTTTCTTCTTTTTATACTAATACTAATTATGTATCTGATTGAATTATAAACACTGCTTGTTGATGTCTCTCTTATTTGCTCTCCTACCCCACTCCATCCTTTCTGCACTATCAATATTCAGTGAGTTAGATGTCAACTGGATATATTAATATTTCTTTTAGTTATTTGGGCACCCATTGTGACAGACATTGGGTACATTCCTTTTAAATATGCTATAAACAGTGTAGCCTGTTATGGAAAATATTTCTAAATCCAAGTTGAGCTGAACTTGGGGAGGTTTATTGTTCGCAAGTCAAATTCATCAATTGTTACACCAAGCCAGATGAGCTGTACTGGAATAAAGAGAGAGAGAGAGAGAGACTTGAAAGGAAATTTTTGGATGTAACTAAATAAAAATAAATAATGCAGAATCACTAACTTCTTTTTCCTTGTATGTCATGTGTGTCTGGCTTTTAAAATTGGGGGCAATATGGTTGACAGTTGGTCCAGTTGTATGCCGGTTTGGGTTCGGCAACACTAATTCTCCAACCAAGTTTTGTATTGTGGCTTTGAGTATGCAATGCTTCATAAGGGCAATGTCCAAATCTATGCCCTAAACTTGCATCTTCTCCTTTTCTTGTTCTTCTTTGTTTTACATTGAAATTATCAAACAAAGAAGGACTGATGAATATTCATCTTTGCTTTTACTTAAATGATCCCATTTTGCATAATTTTTTTTGCACATACCTTGCACCTTTTCCAGTTTTGTTGTGGTGTTATACTATTTCATGAACTTTTATAGTGAATGGGATGTCTACTCCTGTATATATGTTCTTGGGTACATATATCATCTTATATGTATATCACCGTGTATATCACTGTGGTTTGTGTGCGAGCGCACATTCACTTAAAGTTGGACCAACTAATTTCTGAACTCTGAAATTTCTCTCTTTTGTATATCATTTAAATTTCAGGTCTTAAAGTTGGACCAACTAATGTCTGAACTCCGAATTTTTTCTCTCTTTTGTATATCATTTAAATTTCAGGAAATGACACCTGAAGCAGAGATTATTTCGACAAGATACACAAAAAGCGTTATCAAGTCAGTTGCAGCGCTGTCTTACGTTGAAGCTCAAGCGAGGATGGATGACAGGTGCTCGCATCATGCATCTATCTTTGTATATTACTCCCTCTATCCCAAACTAGTTGGGTACTTTGGGAAGTGTGACTCAAAAAATTGTGAGTCACAGTTCCCAAAGTACCCAACTATTTTGGGACAGAGGGGTATCTATTTTAGTTGACTTATGAGAAAGGTTATGAGCTAATGACATGGATATCCCTATTTTTAGAATATTGCTATCATGATTCCTATACAAGTTTGTAAGCCACAGTTCCCAAAGTACTCAACTATTTTGGGACAGAGGGAGTATTTATTTTAGTTGACTTATGAGAAAGGATATGAGCTAATGACATGGATATCCCTATTTTAGAGTATTGCTATCATGTTTCCTATACAAGTTTGTTACATTAAGAGTTATCTTGGATGTTGCTATCTTATTATCTATTTCTTATTTATTTTGTCTTCCAAGTTTCCTATTTCCAGTTTTTATACTGATGGTTCTTATTTATCGTCAATTCCAGTCGCTTGATGGATCCATTAACAACAAATTTGCGAAATATGAATGCTTTAGCCAAGGTATCTGTACTTATGCCTGTACTTTTTGCAAAACTACCTGTGAATATTTTTTTCTTTCGCATTTCTTTTTTGGGGATTTTTTCCGTTAATCTTTATGTTTGTAATCTTGCAGACAATGAGGCTAAGGCGTATTGAAAGGGGGGCCTTGACTCTTGCTTCTGCTGAAGTAAAATTCCAAATTGATACTGAAACTCATGACCCTCTCGATATTGGTATGTTAATTTTTTTATTTTTTTGAATTATTTGGTACTCTGAGATGGAACTGCTTATCATCCCAATCCAAATTGATACCGAAATTCATGACCCTCAAAGTTCTAATGATTTTGTACAAAAACAACCGCAACTTCTAATCCTTTAGCTGAGGTAAGCAACATATATATATATATATATATATATATATATATATATATTTTCTTCACCACCACATCAGCAATAATGCAATATCACCGCTGTCGCTGCCACCATCACCGCAACCACCACCACGACTTCTCTCTCTCACTCTCCACATCCCATTTTTCCACCCCACCACCGTTGCCAGATCCCTCCACACCACCACTTCTTTCTCTCCACCACTGACCTCTCAGCCACTGTCGCTACCGCCGCCACCAATTCTCAAACTAAATACACCCAGCAAGTGTTAATCCAATTCCCACAAACTAATTTATCAAAACTCCATAATGACTTCCATCAAGATTGTCATCAATACAATAAAATCAGTCTTTGATTTTCCTCACTGCAACAGTAGCAGAACGTCGGCAACGGTGTTCGGTTTATAAATTTCAGTGAAAATTGCAGAAAATTAGTTGATACCAATGTGATTGATAGTCGTCTTCTTGAACTAAATTAGACCAATTAAACCTTAGTATTTGTGATGGTGAATATATGAGAGGTTGGCAGAGAAATTGATATCACTCTCTACCCAAAAATGGGTCTAGTGTGTGATTACATACAGAAAAACATATATATGCATATATAGGACAGGTGAGTTGAGACTCGAGAGTGAATAGAGAGTAGTAAGTTGAGAATTAAATTAGGCACAAAGAATTTAAGGGGAAAAAATAGCCACAAAGAAAAATATATACACAGTGTGTGTATATATACATATACTTCTACATAGATCTGTTAGGGTATTCTTTTATAGAACAAATAAATAAATAGAGATAAAGAATTACATTGATAAATTATATCACAGAGAATTGTATTATATCACCCGCGGGGGGGGGGGGGGGGGGTTGGGGTGGGGGGAATGAGAGGAGAGAAGAATAGAGATAAAAAATTATAATAATATGTATATCAGATATCAGAGATAACTGCATTATATCATAGAGAGAGAGAGAGGGGGATGAGAGGGGAGAGAGATACAAAGGAGAGGGATTTCATGCATTTGGTTAGAGTGGGGGAGGGGCTAACCCAGTTATTTAGAGAGAGAGAGAGAAACCCACTCTTTCAAAACCTTTGTCTGATAGAGAGAAGAAAGGGTAATTTTGGTATTTTAATTGACTTAATGTGTCTGACGGTTAACTAACGGTAGGGGTACTTGGAGTTAAGTCAACCAAATCTCTTGGGAGGTTGACCATGGTATTTCAAAAAGTTTAATCTTATGGTAATTGAGCCTAACCTCAGGGGAGGTCTGAGTAATCTACCCTTTTACTTATATTAAAATTTCTTCTGCTGCTGCTGTTTATGTAATCTGTATATGTATGTATATATATGTATATATATATTTAGATAAGTCACACACACACACACAGGCGCACAACACTCACACTCTTGGTTGCAATTTGGATTTAAACCCTCCATGGATATCACCTGGTGCAATGGTAAAACCTCGGATTGACAAGCTTGAGATCTTGGGTTCAAGTTTGCGAGTAGACACTTTGTGTAAAAATAATACCAAATTTTAGGTCTTGTCTCCATTCTTTCCCCGTGGGATATACACTGGATAATGCAATTTATTTGACCCTCTAACTCCACTTTAAGAGGGGTGAAGGGGATTCCACTCAATCTCTCACTTGGTATTTATTTCTTTTAATCATTATTACATGTTTCCCCTTATTCTTTCTCTACTCACTTTCGTCTTTAATTAGGACCTAAAAGACCATAAACCAATTGTTACAAAGTTGGCGGCCAGCATCCTAAAACCCATTTAAGTAGGCATTCTCCTGGTAAAATAAACCATCAAATTTCTGGTAATGAGCACAATTCTTTAATGTATCTAACTTTACTGCCAAAATATTTCTTTAATAGGCAATATTTCTTGTAAAAGCTTGCAAGATTGGATGGATGAATTCTCATTATCTGATGTATCATTAGCTATATGGATTGCGACTTTCTAGTTTCTAGTTCATTTCACATTTTCTATTAATGATTTAAAGTTCCTTTTATTTATTTATTTATTTTCTGTGTTGCATTTCCCTTTCAAGGTCTAATGCATGAATTGTATCTGCAGGAATGTATCAAATTCGAGAAGCAAACCAAATGGTTGAAGAGTTTATGCTTGCTGCTAATGTTTCAGTTGCAGAAAAAATCCTTAGACATTTTTCTTTGTGTTCGCTGTTAAGGTACATTAGTGGTTGTAATTATTGGCAGCATAATTTTCTGTTCTCCTGGAAATTTTGCTTTCAAGACCTTTACTTTTTGGGCCCAAGAATGATTTGAGACTTCCACATTCATGTTTTCTTCCTTCTGCCTTTCTTCGCCCTTGCATGGCAAACTTTTTTGATTGCATCTTGGATGTGTGGATATCCATAGTTGGTGTTTAAGCATAAAAAATAAATTCCAGAGAGATACATACAAAAAATGCCTGTCTGCTTGTAGATCTCTAAAATGTTTCTCTTTAGCTCACGTTTTTATGAAATACAAACTAATAATGTCCATCCAAGAAATATTTTATAAGGAATGGCTGTTTGTTTACTCAACTTTGAAATCTCCTTTTTAGTAGTGTAGTGCATGGCAATGTCTTAGCTAAATTGTGTGTTCCACACATCACTAGTTAGCCCTTTTTTAATAGTGGGAACACCACCGAAATAGTTGCTGAAAAGCTAAATTTGATATGTTGCCGAAAAGTATCTAGTAGTATGCATACTTCTGTAAACCATTTTTAAGCACAGATAATCCAATAAGTTTGTACATTGTATTTAACTTTGATAAATAATAGCTGTTTGGATTTCAATCTCAGATGTATGATCTCCTTGATTAGATTTATTCAAATTTGTATCAGAGGATGGTATTACAACTGTTATGGATATTGCCAAGCATTTAGCTCTTGCTGTCTCATTTCTCTTTGCAGGCGCCATCCTAGTCCAACAAAAGAGATGCTTGAACCTTTGATTCGTACAGCTGCTGCTGTTGGTCTCAATTTGGATGTGTCAACTTCTAAAGCCTTGGCTGATTCACTAGATCGCGCTGTGGTGAGTTTTAGTTATTACACCATATATATTCTGGCACCCAATATGCACCTACCCAAAGCTTTGATTTTTTGTCAACCTTGAGATAATGAAACCTATTTGCAATGTTTGTTGGAAGTAGGAACTTGTAGGAAATTCTTTTTTTGAGCTAATTATATTACATTTACATTAGATTGTCTAGCCGAACTTATTTGATGCAAGAAATTTACCGTTTAAGAGCAAACTGAATGTTATGTTTTGTGCAGTTATTTGTCATCAACTCTCTCTCTCTCTCTCTCTCTATCTCACATATAGTTTTATCAATTTCAATCTATGCAGCTATCTTATCATCATCATCATTCTTGCATTTAGAGTCTACCAAGCTATGGAGCTATATGTGTTCATTTTTATGATATACAAAAGTTTAAAGAAAATGTTTTTCAGGGTGATGATCCATACTTTAATAAGCTAATCCGCATTCTGGCAACTAGATGCATGACACAGGTGATTTCACTCGATTAATTTAGTGAATTAAAATTATATTTTTGTATGGAAGCTTATCAAGCTAAATTTTTTACTTGTATGATTTACAAATTCAGGCAGTATACTTCTGTAGTGGAGATCTCAGCCCTGCAGAATTTGGTCATTATGGTCTTGCATCACCTCTCTATACACATTTCACCTCACCTATAAGGAGATACGCAGGTTGGTGGGAGTTTTAATCATGGGTTGTGTTGATGTTAAGATAATTATTTTTGATTTTGGAACGTCCTTCTTTGGTCCTAAATAAAATATATATATATATATCTCTTCCTTCTTTGGCAGACGTCATTGTACACAGGTTACTCGCTGCATCTTTGGGGATATACAAGCTTCCAACCATATTTCAAGACAGACCACAACTTACCAGTATTGCTGACAGTAAGGATTACGTCTCTTCGCTTCCAAACATTGCTTCATGCTATAGAGACGTTCGCCCTGTCTGCTTAATCATACTGCAGTTACAACTAGATTGAAATCTTGCTGTGACCTGTGCGTGTGGCAAATATAATTATCTAGCTGTTTGCTTGTTTAACAGGCTAGTGCTGTTGCACATGTATGTGTTATTGTGATATTTTAGCTTGAAAATGAAAAATTAACCCATTTTCCCGTGTCCTTTTTTTTCATGGGATGGGGTGTTAAAGTAAATTAGGACCATTTCTCGGTTTGTGCATGTCATCCATTTTCCCATGTCTTGTCAATCCATGATTAGAACATTTGAATTGATAGCTTTACATATATGTTTATTTTATCTCCCTTATTAACTATGCAGTTCGTTTCATATAGTGCTTTAGCTCATGAATTTATCTTGCCTCGCCCATCATTATATGGGCAATTTCCTGTGACTTTCATGTACCTCAAAAGTGGCTTAAAGTGCATGAAGTGTGTGTGTGTGTGTTTTTTTTTTTTTCAAAGCACAAAATAAGGTTGTACTGGTGGATTGATGTCCTGAGATGTACGGGAAAATAGAATAGGACTACTCAATAGGCTGTTGAAGGGCACATCTTAAAGTTCATATCTGCCGACCTTTCATTTATAAGAGAGATGCTGTGTATTCCTGTCATTTTTTTTATTTTTTTATTTTATTTTTTATTTTTTTATTCTTTCGTTCTTGCCAATGTGATTTTGATATGTGCAAGTGCTGTTTAGTTTAGATATCAAGAAAGACTTCTTTCGAACTGTGATTAGCATGTGTTATTAGGGTTGAGCTAAAACGTACTAGTGTCCATGTCACATGTTTAATTTAAAATGTAAGAACAATGCTTATTGTGGGTATCCTTCAGATCTGAATTATCGGCATAGGAATGCCCAGATGGCAAGTCGGGCCTCAGTAGAGCTCCATACTCTCGTCTATTTCAGGAAACGGTATGTACAAGGGAGCTTTTCTAATGTCTCATTATTTGTCTATACTCTCATTTTATTATCTATGCTCTTGCAGGCCGACAGACACGGAGGCCAGGATAGTGAAAATAAGATCAAATGGCTTCATAGTTTTCGTACCCAAGTATGCCTTGTTGTCCTTGAAGTTTCATCTTCTTTTTCCCAAGTGCATTGTTTCGGTGCTAGATTGCTCTTTGCTTTCCATATTTGCTATTGATTAGATCTTAAATGCATCTTTGGTATTTGAAGGAAAATAAATTTCACTTTTCCGGTTTTGTATATGTAGAAGTCAACCATTGATAACCGAGCTATATTATAAAACGGCAGTCATTATCAAAAACAATAATTAAAAAGTAAAATGGTATGACTTGTGTGTGAAGGCAAGGAAGTAACTCAGTTTGCATGGGAGGTTCAAAAAAATATTGTATGTGCCTGCGCAGGGCGAAAGCATCTTATTATATACAGCTATATGTTTGCTAGTTTTGATTATTTTTCAATCATCTTTGCAGGTATGGTATTGAAGGGCCTGTGTACTTGACGGCAAGAGGCGACAAGGGAGGGGGTGAATGGTTGGTAGATGAGCAGCAGCAGAAAGTTAAGAAGAAAGATGGTAGCATTAGCTATGGTGTTCTTCAGACTGTGAGGATACACATGGAGGTTGTGGAGCCTCAACCCAACAGGCCCAAACTTCAGCTTTCCTTGATTTAAAAAAATATACTAAAATAGAAAGGCATTTTAATTTTGTTTCCTTTACCATTAGGGAGTGGTGTTAATTGTTGTAAAATGGCTTAGAACAATTATGGGTGTGAAGCAACAGGTTGGAAAGAGATGCAAGAATATTTGGTTTTAAAAATATTTAATTTTTCTTTTTTTTTTTTTTTTTTTGAACTTTCTAATTTTTAGATACTCACTCACCAATCTCTTTAATAAGAATATTACAGTCAAAATAAAACTTCCGATAGGTTAATAAGAATATTACAGTCAAAATAAAACTTCCGATAGGTTAATGCCATTATATGCAAAATGATGCTTAGTATGGCTCGCTGATTTCGAGAACAAGCCAAATTAATTTTCGAATTATAATGAGAATCATATTGTTGGGTCCTACTGATGCATTTTCATATTGTTGAAAATATGATAGATGGGCTTTACTAAGAAACATATTCCTATTAGATTTATAAAACTTGTTGGAAGTATGTACAAAGAGGATACAAAAACTAGATTGTGTGCTTGAGATATGTTATGGATTTCCATTTTAGTAAATGCTATAGGAAATTAAAATTTAAAACTCAGAAAATTGCATTATTAGAATCAAAAGGTTTAAAATTAAGTTAACTAAAATATAATATATAGACTTATATGAAGGAAAAAATATATAAAAATTAGATGGAATGTAAATTTTAATAATGCTATAGGAAATTAAAATATAGTGATAAATAATAATGTGTTGCTAAAACGCTAATGTTGAAATGGATGAATGTGTTGCTAAAATGCTAATGCTGAAATGGATGTTAGTACTAAGATAAAAATAAATCTTAAATTACATTGACCTCTTTGAGGTTTATCATCGTTAAAATTAGTCTTATATATCATAAAAGCAAATCTGAGGTCCTATGAATTCTACCAGGTAAGTCCACAAGAAGAGGACCGAACACTCGTCTTGCGCCACATCGAACAATTGTGACATGGTGCCTGCATCATTCTCATCATAATTAGTTTTAGTAAGAGTTTAAAACACATTGTATTAGTGATGAACTGATGATATCAAGCTCAAACATAACAAGTGATAAAGAAGCATAATATTCTCAATACTATCAGGATTATAGTCAATCATCAAAAACAAAAAAATCCAAGGATGGAGCAAAAGTATTACTAGAAGTAGGTTCATTTTTTTACCGGTTATAAAGACCCGGAAGAGACAATTAGGCCATATCAGATATTCCAAAAATTTCTTACCAATAGCCATTGCAGGCGGCAGTGTTTACTCAATGTATAATATAAAGTGGTACAAAGGGTCTGGCGGAAGGAATCCGAGCTTGGCCGCTCGTTTAACAAATTGCAGTCACTTTTAATAAAAATGAATTATTACACCTAGATGGACTTATAGATCTATATTTATTATTTGATGGGGTCAAAGTCATGATCTTTTGAAAAAATAAAGTTAGATCAAAACATTGATATGTACATGAAAAACACATGGACAAAGATTGTTTATTGTCCAAACTACCTACTCTATTTTCAGGTATCATTTTTGCGTATAAAAATACCACTCTTATGCACATAAGCACCACTTTTTGTGCACAAAGGAACCATTTTTTTGTATAGACCATGTCAGTGTAAGCAAAAAGTGGTACCTTTGTACAAAAAAAGTGCATGAGAGTGACACATTTGTGCAGAAAAATAGTATTTGCATGTAAAAGAGTGATACATAATTTTTTTTCTTCATAATTAGTGGTATATAGAATTAATAATAAGAGTAGTTTGAAAAACTAAACAATGTTTTTTTTTTCATTTTTACCGTTAGTATGTTGGTCAACTTTATTTTTTTGAAACATCATTTTGACTCCATCAAATAATAAATACGGAGGTGTATTGTCAAAAACTATAAACAATATAAAAACAAAACAACAACAACAACAATAATAATAATTTATTTATTTATTTATTATTATTATTATTATTATTATTTTTTATTTTATCATAAAACAATATCATATATCATTTCAAAGGCACAAAGAAGCCAACGGCAGTATAGATGCAGAAAGACAAACTAGAAAAGGAATACAAATCATGAAGCAAAGCAATAAAATGAAGAATATGCTCCAGATCTGTGCACAAATTATGAAGCAAAGGAAAAAAATGAAGAACAAGCTTCAGATTTGTGTACAAATAATGAAGCAAAGCAATAAAATAAAGAACAGACTCCAGATCTATGAAAAAAATAGATCCTAAACTTTGCAACGAAACCACAATGGGAGAAACGTAGCAAACTGGAATGATCCAAAGGTCAGGCATCATTAAGGCAACAACTCCAAAGCTGCAACCACAAGACGTTCCGACATCCAAAAAACTCCGTGCAAGATCAAATCAAGGAGAAAAAGATCAAATCTAGGCGGGAGAAAACCAAAACCGACCTGAAACGAAAATCTAGTCTGATAAAATAACAGATCCGCTCATTTAATCCGAAAATGTATTGTCAAATATTTTAATATAATTCTGCAAGATATAAGCTGTTAAAATTGACAAAGTAGGGCAACTAAATAATTTCAATAAAAAGTATCCAATATTTGACCCACCACTTTGAACTCTATTGATAAGTTAAAGAGGTGCTACTAATTTAAGTTGTCTTTTTACCTGCCGTCCTTTTATTGGAGATGCTACTTTAGCTGACCAGTTGGGTCAAGTTCATGTCCCCAATCAATTAGCCTTAAGATTTTTGAGCATGGGACCCACATGGATGGTCCTCTCAATTATCAAAGGGTGTCTAAATTCTTTGTTGTGGGGTGTAATGCAATTAAATATTATTTTAATACATTATTGCTGAAATTTAAAAACACAAATATTAATACATTATTGCTGAAATTTTGATATTTTTTTCTCTTTAATTATTAAAAAGTGAATTGATTATTTTGTTTTGGAGTTGAAAATATTTATTTATTTATGCAGCAAATTTGGACAATGAATGATTATTTATTTACTCTTTTCTACATATTAGAATATATTGTATAATATATTATTACCATATATAGCATTACGTTATATGGTAATGTCTTGCTTTTCACACATGACATTTCCTATGTAAACCCCCTATGTACTCTTGTAATATATATCTTACACATCAATACAATATAAAGTTCTATACTCATTCTTATTTCTAACATGATATCAGAGCCAAGTTCTCTATCTTTTTTATTTTATGATTTATAATTTGTTGGTGGTTTCAATAAATTCATCAACAATACATTATGTTTCAATAAATTCATCAACAATACATTATGTTAGATGTCTAAATTTGGGCTTCATCAAGTCCTTTCGCAATTCAGAGCATACTCGGCGAAAGTTCAGAGTCAGACCAGCACTTTCTTACCTATTTTAATATTGTTTTTAATTTATAATTTCTATTTTTATATTAGATTTCTATTGCAGAATTATTATATTGTTAAATCCTTATTCTTCTTTATATCCATGTTATTCATATTGTTGTATTTATTTTATTGAAAGAATTACAAAGTGTTATTAATGTATTATTCAAACTTGAATTATTTATTATTTTATTTCATTGTGTAATGTTGAGTTGATTTATTGTATTTGTGTTATTATCTAAAATATGTGAAATTTCCACAACAGTCTAAAGTTGATATGATCATATTAATTTTGTTGACTTGATTTACCATGTCTTATTTATACTTTAGAACCTTCTAAAGTATTAGTGGCACTTAAATTTTATTTGTGTTTATTTGTATAGGATTTGGGTGTTCCCGAATATCAAAGATTTCAGATTTCATAATTATCCTATACATAGTCCAAAATATCTATGATAAAGATATTTGGAAATTTTGCATAAGTTAATTTTAGAAAGGAAAAAATTGATTGTTTTAGAATCTAAAAAGAATTTCCCTTTGTGTATCAAGTGATTATAAAAGGACGTAAAATTGATATGCTTTACACTTATTCAGAATTGAATTATAATTGATTTGATTGCATATAGTTTTATACCTACATATTTACTTGGAAATCATGCCCAATGTTCATACTGTACACTGCATAATGTTCATGCTGTACACTGCATATTATGATACCTATGCATCAAATGAAGTTTCAATTACGAATGATAATATTATTCGTATGATTGATGTTATTTGTGCGTACTTTTAAATAAGGTTTTACAAAATTGTGTAACATAATTTTTAATTATATTTTATAGTGAATTAATTATGTAACAGTTGTACTATTATCATTGTTATTTTGTTAATGATATTTAAATAGAACTTTATTGACTATTGTAACTTTTAGCCGCATAAAACTGCCATTCATTTCCTTCTCATTATGTGCCCTTGAATTCCTATTGAATTATGGCAGTTACAATAGGCACAAATATACTATATTGCTGGAATTTTATTTTACACATGGTGGGCAGTGAATCGTTAAATGATTTATGATTGAATAATTGACAATGTAACTGACTATAAGTTTTAATTTAAAGATATATATTTGAACATTATAAATTAATGATTAATGATTATATATAGTTATTAGAGAATATGGCAGTTTTTTGTTTTGTCAATTACAAAGAGAAAATTGTTTCTTGACTTAATAGTAATAGGATGGATTTAATTTGATTTGCTGGTAGTTATTATTTTACAAAAGTTACTTGTTTATTGCATAAGTTAATTAGAAAAGTCTGAGGTCAGTGGGAGTGTTATACTTTGACGGTGTAATACTATTAACTTGTAACTCATTGTTACCATTTTAATTTACATCTATTGCAATGATCTAATAGATTGTTACACTGTTAAATAACAGCTCAATGCATTAATCTATTTATGATGTTATGTGTCTGGATTTTATGAAGTTGTATATGGAGCAGTTTTGTATTTGTGAATGAAATTAAATGGAAAATGATCCATTTCCAATTTTTAATGTCTTTATATTATTGTATAAATCATAAGTTATATAGGAGTATTAATTGTAAAGGAATAAATTAGTTGTATATCTTTAAAAAAAGGTAACTGTTATGAGCATTAATGTGTGTGTATATATATAGCTATTACAGAACATTACTATTTGTAAATTGAGAGTAGGACATCATGCAGATGTACAATCCGAGATTACGTGCTATATTATGTTTATGTG